GAAAACACCTAGATATACCATCACCCAACCGCCCGTCACTGCTGGGAATATAGCCTCGAAGAACATGGTCACTTCTACACCGATTTCGTTGAAGAAGAATGTGCTGAGCAAGTTGCTGACACACACCATGAACTCTCCAAAGATCGGCATCAATATACACACTTTCCTGTTCCCAGTCCTGTCGCTCCAAGCTCCCATGAAAATAACCAAAAGCGTTGGTATCGATGTCTGTATCACACTCTTCCATGATTCTATGTTCGATATTATCTTCTGGATGTCACCTTCGTATTCAGTCAAATTCCCTCGCTTCTCAATCAACGCGTCACAAATACTTTCATTAAAGTTCAATTTCACTCGGCACGTCTTGTCTAAATTAAGGTTCTGTATCGCCAATCTGGCTAACATAGAAGGTATGATTAGCCCTGCTAATATAGGCTCTACGGTGATGCTGGACCTTAGTCGACATAGTTTGCTTATAAAGCTTTCGTTTTCATTAATGTTATTTATTTCTTTTTCTTTTAATGGTTTCTCCTCAAATTTTTCCTTCTTCCCTGGATCCGTCATGTTGTGTTCACTGTACGATATTATTTATCAAACTAACAGTAGACGCGTTGTTATTATAAAAGTTTATTCGTCCCGTATCGTCACCATTACTTGATGTTTGATCTGTGTAAGATGTGTATTAAATTGTTTTATCCTAAATGTGTTACACTTTTTATTTCGTATTTATAAAGGTGTTGCTTTTTATCATCCACGTAATATTTGACGCAGAAATAATTATATTTTTTCCGATCTTTAATATATTTCACTCTGTTGTTACTTTCATCTATTTCAATCATGTATCTGTGCAAACTACTACTGTTAAAAACAACCCTTCTCTTGTATATTTTTCTTAATTACATCATAAGTCAAATGTGGTTAATTTCAAGGATTGTCCAAAACTTTTTAATTTCTACTCCATCCCGATCTCACTAAAACCACATGCTACTTAATTATGCATGTTGCTACTTTAGGTACCTGGTACATCATTTACACAATTCTTTACCGGGATGCGATCAAAGCTTTTGGTAAGAATTTTAATCCAAAAAGTTCGAAGCATAGTTTTATTTAATCATTTTGTGAAATATAATACTTATCATCTCAAGCATAACGCCTAATTTCTTTATTACAATACCTACAAAGTCTTTTATTAACTTCATTACCACTTTGCTAAAGAAAACTTACAACTTTTCCCTTTTTATTATTTACGTTGAAAACAACCCACCCTGTAGAGACGGGGAGTTATCAAAGTTAAATAATTGTACATTAGTTAATGAATATTTGAGTTGATTATTTACTCAGCCACTGCACCTTGATGTGGCCTGATAAATTATATAAATAATGTAATCAATTGTCTTGTATTTACACTGAGATTGTTACTTACGCAAGTCGCTAGTTTCAAGCGTTCGCTATATCTATTATCTCCATAATCATTGTCATAATAAGTTTTATTATATCACTTTAGGTATAATAAAATCTTCTATGTAAATAAGCTTACATTAAGGCAGTTTCGTTCTGTATTCCAGTGACTGGCTGTTTTTTTCTCCTGCTATACATTTACGATGATTCTATAAAGGATTGCACAATATTTTCGAAAGTTGTTTAATATTTTCTCACCCCTTTTTTCTGTATAGTATAGGCGAAATTGGGTAGTTTCCAGGGTATCAAAATTAAAAATCTAATTAGTCCGTCAGTTACATAATAAAAAAATATTAGACACGTATTTTTTTATTTTGTCGTATTAAGTTACAATACCTACTAAGATAAAATGGCGCTAAGTTTAGGAGTGGGAGGTCGTTACGTCATAACGTGTTATAAAATGTGGCACGCTGTGACGTCACACGATATTTGCAATTAATATATCATCGAAAGTATTTAATTTAGTGAGAAAAAAATACGTGTATAAAATTTTAAATTAATGTACCAGACGGACATTAAAATAAAATTTAGGAAACTACCCTATTGGCTTAGGTAGTTGCTTCTTAAACAAAACGGAAATTAATTGTTTTACAGCAATGCGCCTCAGTGTTACTAGCCACAGGCATTATCACCAACAACAGCCTAGAACAGTCAACTGCTGCACTGTAATTCTCTTCTACGGAGTTTTACGTAAGAGGGGTTACCAAAATCTACTAGCCTAACAAGGTTTATCAGAGCACTGTTGCTCGACATATCTGTTATATGTCTATATCTATGTGTACACATTTGACAGTTGTGACTACACCCTTAAACTAAGCGCCTACACACTTATCCGTGAAAGTTGTAAGATTCTTTAGCTGGAAACCACAGAAAAAAACGTTGTACCTATGTGAATAATTAATTCTGATTAAGTTATTATTTTATATTATATACATACGACTCAGTACGAAAAGATAATTCAATAGCAGTACAAACTACTTTGTGAGCTTTTCAAAACACAAATGTCACCGTCACTTGGTGATATTGAACGGAGTTTCCAAGCTTCCTTGTGCGAACTTCTTCGTAAGGAACGGAATTCCTTGCCGGAATCTGTGTTTCCCGAAAAATACAACTTGGGATAGGTAGATGTGTTCCATCGTCGGTCACATCATCGCTTACTACCAGGTAAGATGGTGACCAAACGTAACCTATCTAGTATAAAAAAAGTAATTTTTTCGTTGCATTAAAATTGATAAAAAATGACCGCAGGTAAACTCTCTAAGTCTCGACTTAAATTCCGGGTTCTTTGACTGATAACTAATTACCCAAATAGCGCATTTTATTTAAATTTTCTGTAGTACCAAATGTAAATATTTTTGACCTAAGAAAATCAAATAAATTTTAGTTATGTAGACTACAAAAGTCGCCAGACGTCCACATAACCAGAATTCCCGGTTATTGTTAAGTAAACAAAAAATATATTTAATTATTAAGTAATATATTTAATTATTCGATTCTACACGTGACCAGAGGGCTGGCTTTTTCTTCGGACAGAAAATAAGCATTGCCATTCAACGTGACAATGCTGCCAGTCTTCTGGGAACTTTCCCCTGTGATAGTGATGCGGACGAATACTTTGACGCCTAAATTAAGGGTATAATTTTTGTTGTTTTCTTTTACTTTCTTTTTATTTAATAGTTTAGTTGTAGTTAATTTTAAGTTGTAAATAATTATTAAGTTAGGAAGGAAGAGGGTCTCGCGTTCTGTACCATATGAAATGCTGCTCTTCGTATACCCTGGAAACATTAATTTTGTTTTCTAAACGCCTTTTTTTTAGTTTTTATCTGTCGGTAGAAAGGTGTTGAATCAAGCTAACTATGCATAATAGGTATGCACGGACATAAAATATACCGTACCCTGCATAACATGTCGCGGAGAACCTAACGGGTAACCGGGGCTCCAGCTCGACGTGCAGGAGAAGGAACGGGGTAGTTTTTAGTCAGCAAGAGTCTGACACTCCCTCCCACCTCACCCAGGCGGAAGCAGTCATTCGATGATTTTCAAAACTTAAAAAAAAACCTGCATAACATAGCTTCACACTTAATTCTAATCTAGAATAATAGGTATGCGAAGATGCACATTTAATATGCAACACAATCTTGTGCGCATGTGTATGCATATCATGTTCATTATTAGATCTGATATCATATATTATGCACCTAGTGTCATAATTTCCTCAAAAGAAGATTTATGAAAGCAAATACTGCCTAATTGATATCTTTGCAAAACCTTGTTTGCCCGACACGTCATTGTAGCTTATTTTATGACTCCTTGTAAAGAAACTGTAATACTTCAGAATATACTGGTTGAACCAGCTACCTACTTATCTACTCTGATATATCTATACAACAAAGCAGAAAACTGTAGTTAAAGGTATTTATTTATTTATTTATGCACAACACACAGACAGTACACAGGAGAACACATATATAAATAAATTGGAAGTGCATAGGTACATACTACATAATCCCGTAGGAAGCTCTTCCTGCAGTCCTTCGACAGGAAAAACAGTAAAAACTAAGACACTGTGCGTAACATGGCATGAACAAAAAATACAAAGATTACCAAAATTTAAGCCAATAAGTACTTAAAACTACATACACAAAATAAAAGCGATAAATCTAAGGTATAACATACATGGCTTATACCGGATAAGCCACGTTAGACAAACATACGAAAAGCTACCTAAACCTACGCATTAAACCTAAAAAACCACGCAGAAAGAGAAAGAAAGAAAGAAGGAAGAAGGGGTAGAGAGAAAGAAGCGAAAGATAGAGTAAAGAATAAAGACCTCGACTCGACCGTAGTGATAGCCCAGCCTCACAGAAAACTACCGCGTGTCGTGCTACGTGATCAATGGGCGACGCCTATTGAGCTACGTCTACCTATTTGCCCCTATATCAAAAAAAAAACAAAAATAGTTCAGGAGATTTTCATCTGAGGGTACCTATTTATATATTTTGTCTATCTGGATAATAAGAATAGTTATTCAAAGTTGATAAATGATAGGCTTAAATGAAAAGAGATGTTTTCCAACATTTTTATTGCGCTTATAAATATTTATCTTACTACTGAACCTGTAAAGCAAATACAACACACTGCTATCCATTCTCTTATCTTAGTTCTTCTTGAAAACAACCGCTATTGTCACGCATGACAACCTGGTTTAACAACTTCATTATCACTTACAAGAAAATACGGTTAAATCTTAAGTTATAATTTATAAAAATATATATTTTAATTAAACGTTTTGTCTTAAAACACAAAACATTAGCGGCCCGCCGCTGTATATTTTCCTGAATTCCCTTTTTGATTTTTATATTAATCTTGTCCTAACAAACATAATAAAATATAATTATCGAATTAGATACAGTCGTTTTCAACTTATGTGCGTATATACAATTCGATTTTAAATTGTTATTTAAATTAACAAAGTATTCTATGTCTAATAGCAAACGTATTGACCATTTTATGAATAACATTAACTATTACTTAGGAACTATTTATTCGACTACAATTAATTCATGATCTAAATCTAAACTGTTGATTAGAGAATCCTTTTTCCTCTTAGACTGTAGTTCTGTGGCAACATCGTCACTCTTATCTTCTAGACTGGCAACATCCCTTCGGTTTTGTATGAAGAACCAGCTGAAAAATAAAATATAACATGTTATAATTCAACTTTAAATTAACATCACATTACTTTTCTTTAGTGAGTGAGTGTCTAGCTTCACAAAATGACTAACTAAACACTGTTTTGACTCTTCAAATAGGCTATGCTTTAATTCTACCTCTAAGTTAAAAGTATGTACATACTTAATGGGCGAGGTGATGTTCTATAAAAATTCTTATACTGTCAAATGCTTCCTGGTCATGATTCAAATAATCATAGGTGTATTATTGTTTGTATTATTCAAATAACCATAGTGCTTGTACCACTGGTTGCTTTTGTTTTCTTTAATAATAGTTAAGTTAAGTTAGTAAGTTAATAAGTAAATGAACCACCTAAGTTCTTAAAAAGATACGTGTTTCCAATTCAAACAGCATTAGTTATGATTGGGCACAATATATTCCATTTACAAATTGCTCTTGACGTCAGCCAGGCGTATTTAATGTTTAAATACAATTAAAATAACTATAAACATAAATTGTAAAAGTTTTAAACTAGAAAATAATTTATTTTTGTAATTGTATTACGTTAAGTTTGGACAAAGAACAATATAGCTAATCTCATCTGATTAAACTTTAATCTTTTGACAGAATACTTTTACGCGTAATTACTAATGAAAAAAGAATATTGTATTGTTCTTGGCTTGCTATTTAATTATACTTTCTAAGTAATCATTATATTTGAGTATATTTTTTATTGTCTTAGTCACACACGAGTAGACAAAGCTACTTCGCTGGATACGAGCAATTTAACCGAGACGTACTTTTTTGACTTTTTTGACCAAGAAATAATAAAATCATTATTATATTAATAAAATAATTATTTATATTAATAAAATAATTACTATTTCATGGGGACAAAAATTATTATAATTATAATAAAATAATTATTATTTCTTGGGGTCAAAAAAGTACGCCTCGGTTAAATTGCTCGTATCTAGCGCAATTCGAAGTTCTCCACTAAAATTGTAGCAGCTAAGGCTCAACATACAATGTCAACCGCAATACCAAAACCACAGAATACAATCCAAACCTAAAAAACCAGAACTCGTGCCGTCCAATACAGAGACACTTAATTCACCCTATCTAGTATTCAGCAAACGTGTCCAGGCCTAAAAATCGAAGATGAAAACTAAATACTCACACAAAAAATAGTAAAGGTGGAATTGTGAGGGCCGTACTGAAATAGTACACGATCCCAGCATCAGTTTCCAAGGTACACATATAGATCCAGGAGTACAGCGGTCCAAAGATCATTGATGTCACCACCTCCATCAAATTGAAGAATGACGTCATTTTACCTGGAATCACGTACGAATTTGTGTGATAACAGTCAATTTTGTGTTGGTTTTGGAGGTGTTTTTTTAGTTAGTGGTATGTTATAAAATGGATTGGGAACATGTGAATAGGATATAAAAACTTGGGTATGGTTACATTGTGGTTAGCTAGTTAATATACCTCTATATTTTTTAATCGTAACGTGTACTATGTAGGTAATTTATTTTTAAGGTTCAAAGTCAAAGTCATAGTCAAAATCATTTATTTCAATTAGACCAGAACGGCACTTTTGAACGTCAACAAACAAAGTGAAGGTATTTGCTCATTCCAAGGTGTAGATTCCTATGGGGATGAACGAGCAAGAAACTCCATAGGTTATTAATACAGTTAGTATATTGAAATCCTATCAATTGTTAACTTATAATTGGTCACATCTTACTTATTGGTACTTTATAATTGACTTACTGAAATTATACATTTGAACTGTTTAGGTACGTAGGTACCTAAGTGCTATTCGATTTTGAACGTTACACCTATTAAACATTATAATATAAACTTACCTAATTCATCACTGGTCACTAGTTTGGACGAGATGGACCTCAATGCTGTGAAGGAGGTTGCATTGAACATTTCTATAGCCACCGCTGTAATGTGAAAAAAGACTTTATTAATTCCCTTATCATCAAAGCCTTAAACCAATAACTGAAAATCCTTACTAATATTATAAATCGGAAAGTGAGTTTGTTTGTTTGTTCCGCTTTCACGCCGTAATTACTAAACCGATTGCTTTGAATTTTCGCAGACGTAAAGTTAGAAGTCCGGATTAAATAATAGGGTACTTTTTATCCCGGAGAAATTTGATATTCCCGAGGGAAAATAAAAGTATTGGTATAGATGGCGCTGTATGTATTGGTATATGTCACATAGGCTACTTTTTATCCCTTTGTGACGCGAGCGAAGCCGCGGGTTAAAGCTAGTTATAAATATAAGAGTAGAAATTAAGAGAAATCAGGATTAAAGTAAAAAAAAAAATCTCAAAGAAAATGTATTTTTTTGGGTTCCAGGCTCTAGTTTAGAATACTGAAGATTGAATTCCGATTTCGCTTTTTTGCTCCTAACAACATGATGCCTCTAATTTAAATTCAGTACTTTTCCGAATGTGTCAACTTTTTACAGAATTATACATATTCGTTGACTGAAGGAATACACACAAATTACGTGAGCCTAAAGCTGATTAGTATTGTTAATTAGATTATATTTCTATGGATAGTAGGAAATATTAAATTTGGCTTGGTATGACTATTGCTCAGAAAATTTAAATCACACTAATATTATATATTTCAAAGATTCCTTGTTTTGATTTTTTTGGATGTTTATCCGTCAATTATACTAAAACTACTGAACAAATTTTGATGAAATTTGGTATTCAAGCAGGGTATGGGATGACTTAGGCGACTTTTTATCCCGATTTAATGCTCCCATTCACAACCCATTCATAAACAGAAATTATATTCTACGTGGACGGTGTCGCGGGCAACAGCTAGTTATTCTATGTACTATACTCATACTGTTCATCATATTTGTACTGCATCGCATCGCGAGTCTTTAGGTCTTCAAAATTTTGATAATATCTCACCTATATACATATCCCTAGTATTTCTAGCAAGGCCCGTGTAGAGGGCACCGACCACCTTACTCCCATTGGAGATCAGACCCAGTACCGAGTCATCCCACCTCAGACGATGACTGAACAGGCTTATTGAGATCAGTGCTCCTGAAAAACAAAATTGAAATTAAGATTGAAGAGTTCTTTATTTTTTTTTGTTCTATATTGAAATTGCTGAACTGATTCAAATATGAATTAGCGTGCAGATAGACTTTGATCTAGATTACATCATGTGCTACTTTACTTTTCAGTAAATAATCACATCACATAACACCACGCCTTTTATCCCCTAAGGGGTAGGCAGAGGTGCACATTATACCACTGTACAATGTAACACCCACTTTTCACTATTTATGAGTCCCATGTAATAGAGGGTGAGCCTATTGCCATATACCGGGCACAATTCCAGACTCCGTGCTACTACTGAGAATATTTAAAAACCCAGTAATACTTTGCCCGACCCGGGAGTCGAACCCGAGACCCCTGGCCCGGCAGCCAAAACACGCTGAGCGGGTTTAAATGAAGTCAATTTATTTTATTTTTAACCATAACGAACTTAGCTGCAGTCTAATGCTAAATGATATAAGTCATCAATGTAATAGAAGGTGCAAAGTAAGCGTTCCTCTAAAATAAAGAACATGAGACAAAGATACAATATATTCCTCACCCAGTGCATGTATGCATATAAAGAAAGTGCTGTAGAAGCTGTACATGAGAGCGTCCCAGTTGAAACGATACCGCGTGAACAGGTAGCGAACTGTGGCTTCTCCTGAAAAACATAGATGTATAACATCAGTCGTGAATATCGTGGTGGCCTGGAGGTTTATGACGCCCGCTTCTCATCCATGAGAGTACTGGTTCGAAACCTGTCAGAGACAAGTACCAATGTGACATTTTCCGAGTTAAATGTAGGTACTTTCTAAGATTATTTATACACCTCTGACAAACGGTGAACATCGTGACGAAACCTGGGCTAATAATTTCTAATTATAAGTTTGAAATCGCCAACCCGCATTGAGCAAGCGTGGTGATTAATTCTCAAACCTTCTCCAAGAAGAGGCGTTTAGTCAGCAGTGAAAACTTATAAGCTGTTGATGATGATAACATCTGTCTTGTTCTAGATACGTTTTAATGCTTTAATCTATAATGCTGATCTAACTACATTTTAAAATAAATAAATGCCTTATGAATCAAGCAAGTTTTTTAGTTGAAATCAATTTACTTCTAATCCCATACAAAAGCACATACTTTATCTAAAAACTAATATAAATAATTCTAAGATCCCAATGATAATTTGGATTTATGTCCGGAATTTAGTACTGAACTGAACGTTGAATAAAATATAAGACAAGAAACAAGTACGTACCATGAGACGGGCCGTATATAAACGCGATGGATGCCAGCACCAAAATGGACTTTGTCCTCCTCTTGTTAGGTCCTTTTTTGAATGCGACAGTCAAAGTGTCTTTTACGTGTTTTATGTCGAAAAAGGATTTTAGGAAGCCCCTTACGTTGAACGATTCGTTCTGCAATTATAAATCCCATTATTAGAGCAGGTCCACATGAATGGCTTCTGGCAACGTCTTGGCTATACAAAATGGTGCTATGGTAATATGTTAATGATATGCGTATATACTAAAGTAAGTGTATTAGTCAGAGTACCTATGTACATTGGAGTAAGTGTATAGTTATTTTATTGTAAAAAGGAAAGTAGCTTGCAACACTCGTTGAAGGAGGCAGATCACATGATGATAAGTAAGTACTAAGTATTATGGACATCCGAAACACTAGAAGGAACACGTCAATCACTTTAATCAATTGGTAATTCGGATGATGACGGGGTATGAAATTTAAAAATTGTAATAAGTCCGTAAATTAGGTAATGTAAAAATATTGGACACGTATTTTTTTTATTTTGTTGTATAATAAAATAATACTTAGATAAAATAAATCAAAGTTTAGAAGTGGGGGCTAAAACGTCATTTCTACGTATAAAATGTACATAGAAGTGACGTCACGTGACATTTCAAATCAAGATATCGTCTATAGTATTCGTTTCTGTAAGAAAATAAAAAATACGTGTCTAATGATTTAAAATAATCTACCAGACGGACATTAAAGTAAAAATTATGCATCTACCCATTTACACAGTATGCTATAAATTCATTGATTTTTCTAATTATCCTTTGCAAATATGACGTTTCATAAATATCCCATAAAATTAAGTGTTGTCCAGTAAATCATAATCCATTTTTAATAAGACTTTCCATTCAACAGCTTGTTTGTTCATGAAACCGAAGCTTTACACGTCAATGTTATCGGTTGCCGTCCGCTTCGTGGAATTATGGGATTTATGACGCATGAGTTATGGTTCATAATCTTTTATAGCTAAAGTGCCGTATTGATTGGTATAGTTGACGCACAAATCGTGTACCTATGATAGAAGCCAATTGGAGCTCTACATTTTCTTGTACAGGTTATCATTATGAGCTCGAGATAGCCTCGTTGGCCGAATGATCGTAAGTGCGACTGCCGGGCGCGGTTCGATTCCCGGGTCGGGCAAAGTATTACTGGGTTTAAAAAAATCTCAGTAGTAGCACAGAATCTGAAAATGTGCCCGGTATATGGCAATAGGCTAAATAGTGAAAAGTTGGTGTTACATTGTACAGTGGCATTAAGTGCCGTAATGTGCACCTATGTCTACCCCTAAGGCGTAATGTTATGCTATACTCGTGACAGCCCTGATCCATATAGAGGCTACAACATGTATTGTATACCTATATCTACACATAATTATGACAAGATTGCAATAAAATACAGAGTTGGCAGGTGGGTTATAAATGGCAGTTCAAAAAGTTCAGGTTTATAAGAGACCGCTACTGCCCGGTTTATTAACACGTTAAACGCCATGGGGGCACCGGTGACCGGCGTTAGCGGAGGATTTACCTTCAACAGTTTTTTATTGGCAGTCAAAATACTTATGTAATTAGTAGATATTCGATTTCGCAAAGCCCTTATCATCATCATCATAACAGGTCGTGACAATCGCAGTACGGAACTAGTGCCTATAATAGATACTATTAATGGAAAGTACACGATTCTATAATTACACGTTTCTAACATCCACGCATACAATGTCACGAGGCAACAAATATTTATATTTCATCATTGAAATATTGAAATAGTTACGAACAATGAAGTTTTATCATTTAAACTAAATATAACCCATTTACAAAGTTAATTATTATTTATGTAAACTATTAGGTACCTACGTAATTACGTATCAGTCTTTCGACAGTTTAGTTCTACAGTTAGATACACTTCGCCTTAAATCTATGTTTTTGATAGTACATATATTTAAGTTTTCAGTACTCAATGATCAGAATGGTAACAGTAGCCTCTGTGTTTGTATTTATTAATAACATGGCTACCGATTTATCAAGGAATAAATAAATAGACCAGGCCGAACAACAAAATGGACATAGATAATCGATTTGCAGTATAAAAACTAAAGTAGGTATTACTAACCTGTTTAGGTTTTTCCGTAACGGGTCTCTCCGGATCATTGATAAGGAAAAATCCATAGAGAATACTTATCAAATTCAGCAACGCACTGATCGTGAATACTCCATAGTATCCTGTCCAATTCAGAAGAATACCACTGAGGACAGACCCTATTGGTCCTCCTGCCGTTAAGCACAGGTTCGCTATCCCCACCCGAAAAGTCCTGTTCTCCTCACTTGATATGTCACTGATATATGCAAAAATCCCCATGTAAGTAGTAATCCATCCTCCCGTGATAGCAGGGAAGAACCCATCGAAGAACATGGTCACTTGAACCGGCAACTCATAGAAATAATACGCGTTAAGTAAATCGTTTAAACACATAAGTAGATCCCCAAAGATGGGAAGTAGGATGCATATCTTCCGCTTCCCAGTTCTATCGCTCCAGGCTCCCAGGAACAGTATCAACAAACTTGGTAACGCAGTCAACAACACACTCTTCCACATCTCCATCCCTGCTATCAGCTCTTGTACCGCCAATTCTTCCTTCAAGTATTGGTTTCCTTTTTTGGCGATCAGTGCATCGCAAACTTGGTCTCCAAACTTCATATTCACCCGACATGCTTTATCTAAATTCAGATTTTGTGTCGCCAACCTTGACAATACTCCCGGAACCACATAACACACCAGAACTGGTTCCACAGTTATATTCTCTTTTATGCTTATTAACTTCTCTTTGAACGATTTCTTTTTTGGTTTTTCTTTATGTTTTAATGGCTGTTCTTCTGGGATGGCCATCTTTTCCGACGGTGACACGAGTACTAAGAGTTAAGGGGTATGAAAGTTGCCCCCTGCCATATTGCTTGCCGATCAAATATTAGCTAACTGCCGTAGACTTAAGTATTGTTACAATTATAGATATTTTATCAGTTTTTCAAAGAGTCGTCTGTGGATGCAAACAGTGTATTGTTTGTTTGGTGTATGTATGAAGGAGCGCACTATTTATTCTGACGTAATTATCATATCATAATCAGGTGCGTGATGATGCAAATGCAACCGTTCTTCAAACAAACCATGGAAGATCACTGATACAAGACACAAGGTGCATGTTTTCAGAGTTCAGTTGAAGAAACATAAAACTGATTATTTCCAACACTTTTCCTATACCTAAACAAAAGTTACACAAAGCAGTCTCCTTCATCATCAGCTAATCCAACCAGCATCCTCGAATCAATAGCCTTACTTTAGTAGCAATCTAAAGCGTTAGGAACATACTGTACCGCATCCAATTAGTTCTCTATAAAAAATAAACCAAGCAATCTAGAACGCAGCCATCTTAATTTGCGGTTCAACAAAGCCAGATGGGGATTTTCATTAAAAAACTTGTTTTTAGATCGTGTACCTATCTGATGTAGTAAAGAATGTGGAGGAACAATGTTAGTGCTGGAAAGCTTCGCAAGGATTTGTGGAATGATATTTTTTGTTGTATGCTTATCCTGATGTCCTTTTTGGTATACAATGGTGGAACACTGTGTTAAGAACTTTGTTTAAAGATAAAAAATAGGTTACGGAAACAATATGCACAACATAATATTTTTGTTCCCATTACCGCATCAACCGCATAGAGTAAAAAAAGGCTTTAAAACATAAGTTCTTAACTGCATCGTTGTTTACAGGAGAATATGGTTCTTTATAGAAATTAAATAAGTTGTATTTAAAACCCCTATGAACCATAAGGATCTATAACAGAAAACTTACATCTCAATAGCAGATACTACATATATTTAAAAAAAGTTACAAATATAGACACGAAATAGTCTCTCACAGTGCAACACCCAGTATCAATTTGCAGACCTCCAATTCCAACACAAAATAATTATCACATCAATTTCAAGCAAGACCAAATGTAACAATAAACTTTCCTATATTTTTAAATAGTACATGGGTACTTAGAAACAACGAATTGAAGTAAATGGCAGCATAGAAGCGTAAAATCATTTTATTACGTTACAAAAATTTATATCGTAGAGGTACCTAATTGTGATAATGTAAGGTTCCGTCGACAACTGTAAGTACCAAATGATAATTTTTTTTAGCTGGGAATATCATCGAATGACTTCTTCCGCCTGAGTGAGGCGGGAGGGAGTGTCAGACTCTTACTGAATAAAAACCACCCCGTTCCTACTCCTGCACTTCTAGCCGGAGCCCTGGTAACCCGTTAAGTTCTCCTCGGCTCTGAATCGGCATCAGGCCTATTGGGCCCCATCCGTGGTGGTATGATGGTGGTCTTTACCTTCAAATCTGTTTGCAATGAGCAAACACCGAAATTATGGCAATGACAGTCGATTTATATCATTAAAATATCAGACATATCCAAGACAAAGATGGTGTAAGTGCCTATATAGTTACCTATTCCCTAGAAACAAAGAAAAGTCCCGACAAAAAAACAAACGGCGTGTCTATTAATCTCAGTGCACTTGATTTACTACACAACCAGAGCCAGATGTGCATTTAAATTAAAAGACGTGTTATTTTTATATATTTGTGTGAAGCTAGAAGAATGTGTCGCGGTAATGCTGTTCACAGAATGTGCACGCTCTTGAGTCAATGCACTTTTATTTAGTCGTAGGGCAGCCATGATTCTGCCGATGAGCTCTGTGGAGTGTGGAGAAAATATATGACTGTTAGGAAAATGAGCTTGGGTAGAACTGTGTCAGTAGTAAAAAAAGTTAAGACACAGAATCAGAAAAAAGCATACAGATATTTATGGACCAGACAGTTTTAATAAAAATTCTCTCTTGTCAGCTATACGTTTAATAAAAGCCTAATTTTTAGACTAGACTTTGATTCTTGGATGTCTGTTTTAGATAGTTACTTAGAATTAATTACAGTTGAAAATTTTGTCGAGCAAACGACTGTAAACGAATTTACTAGTTAATATATTGTCGTACGATACTAGCAGCCAAGTATTTCGATTACTGAACCTAATCGAAATACTTGAAGCGAACGAACGAACTTCGACAGTTACCTAAACACCCTTTAAAATTCCTAACATAGTATCTTCTTCATACGAATTAAAAGTAAAATTGTAGAGGTAACATCTAGTCTAGACATCATTTATTTCATTTTTTAATCAAATTTCATTCTTTGAGTTAGATAAAATAAATGAATTTAAGCATATGAGATTAACTGTCAACCCATTATGACTAGTCAGTAAAAAAAAGAAGGTGTTTTTTTTCTTTCTATTTCAGATTATCTACTGAATCACATTTCAGAAACACAGATTTAAAGCTTTACTCCTTGTACTCAAGGCCTAAAATGATTAATCAAACTTCGGTTTCCATTCAGTAAGGGTTTCTTAAAGCCGGCGATCCATCAAGTAAATCTTGGTCACCGTATTTTGTTGAAAAATGTTAGGGAACGCTCGTGGCGCGTCGCCATTGTTTTCTAACACTAATTTACTGCCGACATATTTTTCTGCTTACTCTGAAGAATAGTTGGCCTTTTCTTTACACCTACATTTTTGGTATTAAAGGTGTTATGTGAAGTATTCACAGATTACAACAATAGCCGTAGTTACATTTAATGTTGGGTCGTGTAATTTTGAACGGAATCTAAATATTTTTTTGCGATTAATACAAAAATAACTAGTTCTCAGCTACCATCTCACGACATTGATTTTAAGTAACTTACTTGACTTAATATCCTTTGTCCTCTAGATGGGGCAGAGGGCATCCACTGAAGTTCTCCATCACGATCTATCTTGAGCTTCATGCTTCACCTCACTCCACGTCATACCGATGGTCGTCGCTTCTGCCAGTGCGGTGCGACGCCAGGTTTTCCGAGGACGGCCACGCTTTCTTTTCCCTTGGGGATTTCAGGCCAAGGCTTGCTTGGATATATGGTTGGAACCCCTCCGGAGCGTGTGGCTTGTCCATCCCCACTTGCGGCGCTTAATCTGGCGGTTGATTGACCTTTCGTCGCATTTCTCCAAAAGCTCTATGTTGCAGATGGTCTCGGGCCAGTGAATTCTGAGAATGTGACGCAGGCATCGATTGACAAAGACTTGAAGCTGGCTTGAAGATGTCTTTGGTCACCTTCTACATTTCGCACCCATAGAGCAAAATGGATTTAACATGGGACCTGAAGATTAAATTCTTAATCCTTCGGGTCAGTTTCCGTGACTGCTACACAGTCCTTAGCAATCCTTAAAGAAATGTTTGTATTTATAGTTTTTTTTTAACACTTAAGTAATTGCATGTTGGTTAACCTATAATTGGCGACTGTATAAGCCTAAATACTTAATGTTACTTTCAAATCACTTAATGCTATGTATACAGAAGCTGTTGGTATACCTATTTGAATAAATAAAATAAAATGTCCTCTTTCAGTACCTCCAGTCTCTGAATCAACGCTTCCGAGGTAGATAAATTTGTAGACGTGTTCCTCTGCCTCTGTGCCAATCAGCAACGTTGTAGGGCTTTTCACACCAATTCTGATTTTTTTGGTCTTTAGGGTGTTAATTTTAAAGCCAGCTTTTGCCGCCTCCTGCCGCAGGTCGTCCAATTTTACTTTACTTTACATGTCAGCGTAGGTGTATGACTCAGCAGACAGGTCATCGGCGTAGTCCAAATCTTTACCCCACCCAGAACGACCAAGAAGAGAAGCGGTGATAAGAGGTAGTCTTGTCGGGACCAGAAGCTAGACCACTAAAACGTATCAAAGGCCTTTTCGAAGTCGACAAAAGTAAGATAAATCTTCCTTTGCCATTCTGTTGCTTGCTCCAAAATGACACGAAGAATGTTGATCTGGGTGCTTACTCTTGAAACCAATCTCAATGTCAATGCAATATCAATCCAATAAAATCTCAATAATTATCAATGTCAACACTATACAACCACAATCGTAGCTGTTACAATAGCATTCAGAGTACGGAATATAAAGACGAACTCAATACATTTAGTTCATTCAATATCCACGTAATACGGATGCAATGGGCGCTAGTGTTGCAACTCGAGAGTACGAAGTTTCACAATACCAATGTCGATCGATCGGAATTGGATTCAAGAGTAAGCCCCCTGGTCCGTACATGAATTATTCGATCGGAAACCGGAAACTAAAAAAGGGATTTTAAGTAGTGATGAGAAAAAATTGTGTGGTGTAGAATATCCCCTCTGCTAGAGTTGAAGAACTACCGGATTAACGTCTGCTCGTTTGCCACCTATTCCATAAAAAAAAAACTATTCATCCACCCAGTTCCAAGTGCCAATCGAATAAGAAGTAGGTAAAGACGTTCATTATACTGAACCCTTACCATCAGTTTGCTTCCGCCTATTAATTGATACACAAAGTTGGAACAAAATCAACACCATATTGCACGATTGTGTGCGCTTCCGAGATTATTTTCATACGAAAATAGTTTATCAAAAGTTAATTTTAGTATGTCTGTGAAACAACCTTCGTTGTGTGTATCATTTAAGTACTGATTATTTAGTAAACATTCTGTTTTTCAAGTAAACATTTCTGTTGAAATGATGTCTCCTAATGATACTCGTTGAACAACGCATGTTTCACTGATAAAAAAATGAAACAAATGAACCAAACGAACTCTCCTACAAAGCAATCTGTATCACATTGAACTTCTATGAATATCAGATTAATATGAAACCTGGCTTCAAAAATTCACTAGACATAGAGAAATTCCTCAATGTTTTTCCTCCTAAAAACGCCTAACTTTTCCTGAACAGTCACAACCCGAAAAAACAATAAACCAACCAATGTTTACCCAGCATTTCAGTACCAATGAACTTAAGAAGATTCTATTAACTCTTAGTGACGTTAAGAAAATACCACCTTTACGTGGATAGCTTGTATTGCAAATAAAACAGTCTAGCCGGTTAATATGTGGTTGGCGAAACTATTATAGGGTTACGACCCGCTACGTACTGTCGGTAATAAAACGAAAGAAAGTGTATAAACACTAAGATAATATGTGTTCATCTTGGAATACGAGAAAAACGCCAGTATATTGCACGTTTCTCTTTCAAATTATATCCAAAACGTAGAGTTATTTCTTTATAAGGAGATGTTAGTTTTTCTATGAAATGTAGTCTAGAATACATACAAATTGCATTCAAATGAGTTATTATTTACCAACTGCGAGGTACGTAAATAAACGCATGTCTTCATTTCATAAATAAGGCAATCACCACATAGATATTAAATGTTATATAAAAATATTTCTAAGATCGAGTGATTTCAATACTGACTGTGAAATATTTTGAGATTTCTTTCGATTTGTACCTATTATGTTTCTGGACCTAAATCAATCGAATAATTGAATTGTATCGTTTCTGCGCTTCAATTGAAACCAAATAAAGCAAGATAATGTTGTTTATTATTTCCTGGATACTCAATGGTAATTTCTGCTTGGAGCCCTTTATATAATAATTCACTTACAGAAAGAGCAACTCGCTGTTAATTCAGTTCCTTTTAGAACTCGAGGGAAAATTCAATTAGAACGATTTCATTTGAAATTAACAGATAATTAGATGAATCAGATGCAAGAATATTAGATCAAATGAGTTAATACTAACATTATAATGATATATCAGAGTGTTGTATTGTAGTAACAATAGGTGGTAAATAAAATTCAATATTTTATGTGGTTACTAACCACCTTGCCATTTAAAATTTATTAATCAAATCACAGGGTCAACAGTACAGAGCCAGGTTCGTCGTAAAGTACACAATCGCTTACATCTAGGAGGAGCAGTCTCTTGGGTAAGGACATCGTGACGACTTGGTGGTCTAATTTACAATTATAAATGTGTCGTCCAACGATGTTTAGTGAAGATCAAAATCAGAACTATGAGCAATGCACCGGCCAATGCACACAACGTCCACACAAAATGCACAGGCGCTTTATACAATGCCGGAACATTGCAATAGTCGTGATCAAGATAACAGCTTTGTACAAATGGAAATGAGGAATTATAAATACAATGATGGCAGAATCAATCGTCCAATGAACAGCGTGTGGTCGTCGTGATGTTGTCTGATAGAATGCCGTCTAGGCAGCAGGCTTCTCGTCAGAGACGACGGTGGCGCCCGTCGCCACGGAGCCGCCCTCATCAGGTGACACCGTGCACGCAAGTGCGGGGAACTTCTGGTACAAAACAGCACGGTACTTAGGGTGGCTGATACCATATACAATAGGATTGTACACGGCATTAGCCTTGGCAAACAGTGATCCCCAGATAGTGGCCAGAGGACTGATAGGTGCACTCTCGAACACTCCGGTGTAGTTGATTACCAGGTAGGGGGTCCACGCCATGAACCACAGAGAGATGGTCATCAGAGCTACTTTAGCCAATTTGCACTCAGCGCTGGTATTAGCTGCTTCAGATGATCTGAGCGAAGCCACGTTCATTTTCTTAGCCTGGTCCCTCATAGCTTTTTCGTGAGCAGATACAGCCTGGACAATGAAGTAGTAAGAGTAGATGATGAGCAGAAGAGGCAAGAAGTACACGAAGACTGAGTAGACAATGATGTAGCTTCGGCTCAAGAAGTCCTTAGACAAGTAGTCAGTTCCGCAAGCAGTCATGTTTCCCTCAGGTACGTAACGGTTCCACCCAAAGAATGGAGCAAGAGTCCATGCGAGCGAGAACAGCCAGATTCCGAGAATGCGTTGTAGAGCTCCAGACTTGGTCATAGGCTTGGCGGCGATACCCTTCACGATGACGTTGTAGCGGTCGAAAGCAATCATGGTCATGGTCCAAATAGATGCACATCCAAATAATGAGCCTGCGCAGCCGTAGAGTTCACAGGCAAACGGACCAAACACCCATGTTTCGTTGTAGCAATTTATTACCATAGCCGGGGCCATCGCGCACATCATGAGGAAGTCGGAGAAAGCGAGGTTGACTACAAGTAAGTTCGATGGTGTCTTCAAGCTTTTAGTCGTTGAGAATATGTAGATTACCATGCCGTTGCCAGCGATCGAGACGAAACCCAAAACGCCGATAGTGAAGCCCAGGATAGCGTGCCAGAGTGGGTTCATTGGTGGAAACTGGTACCAATGGGCGTCGACCATGTGGAGCATGTCGGCGGATACTTTGTCGACGACGGTTTGATTGGCTACTCCATGCGCCACGTTTTGAGCTCCCCATCCTTGCAGAGCTGCCATTCCTGGACCGTGATCTGCCATCGCCATTTTTGTTGATGGTGGTTTTTGAGTTGAGAAGGATTCTCGGCCGGAGATGGTTATTACAAGGTACTGGAGAAAATCGTTAGACGAACTACTCCAGACTGTAAGGTAACCAAACCCACAATGGGATCCTGCCGAGGCTGTGGAGACTACTCGATGTTTGCCGTTCCTCCAACGTCTTATATAGTCAAACCTTAAGGATTAAACATGACGTCGCCAAGGAAATCGATATTCATAATTAGATATACGAATCTAAGAAGGTAAACTCAAGACTTAGTAAAATTAGTGTAGCAGGGATAGGCTCGTGTTGTCTTCAAGGTTCCGTAGCAACATTAGAAAGATATTGACAAATTCTTAAATATATGTATTTAACACTATGTTTAATTGGGGTAATGCAAATCGGCATGCTATTTACTATATTATTGGTGCCTAAACTACCTATGCCTAGGCAAATCGCCAATCATTCAGTCTGGCTTTCGGTTGTTCTTTTTCAAACGGTGACATGAATTCTCTCAATTCGACCTATCTAATGTTTTTACAATAGAGTCTCACATGCAGACCTGTTGATTGCCTCTTTATTGGTCTATCGCAAAGAATCTTGAAATTGATTCCCAGGTCAAGCTAATATGCATTTATAGGGCAATTCTACTATCAAAATTATCACGAAGTAATTAAGGCAATAGCGCACCTTCTGTATGGGACTTAAAAATAATTAAGTACTTACTTTTTGCGTAAAGTAAAATATCATGCATCTTATCTGATTATGTTCTAAAAGTTTAAACGACGCATGACGTGTTAATACCGCTCCTTGTGCTTAAATCCATAAGCCACCCCTACTGATTTGCAATTCCCATGTCGAGGAAGAACTAAGATATCTTTTTTCGAATAATTCTCATTAATAGCACCGTGTGCGTCTCTATCTAACCCTCTGGATATTAAAAGGTGCTATGTTATGTTATGATTGATATCAATGAAGACATTTGACGAAACTCCTTGACCCCATATTGGTACTCGTAATTTGATCAGCTGAAAGTAGGAGTACCTAGCCATAATACTAATAGCCCTAATTGTTTTAAAACATGTAATTTATGAATAGATTAAACATCATCACATCGTAAATTAATTTTACTCGTTTGATACTATCTGTAAAATTAAAAACATAATATTTGCTAAAAACAAAACATTGGAATACAAAATGTGCTGCAGTCAATGCGTAAAATGGAACGGTTCTGACAAAAATGACAAATGAATGATGCAATCTGTTCTGTACGTCAGTTCATTTTGACAAGTAACGTGAGTCTATGTGTCACGCAGAATTGCAGTTTGCATCGCTTTCACTAAACAATCTTGTATTAAATTTGCCTTCAAATCAATGGTGTGTTTATAAATCGTCAATATCAGCTATCTTCGGACTGTCTGCCAGTAGTCGACGAAGTCCAACATCGGCTCTGACCTCAAATTAGGTTAGTATTGACGATGTGTTAACAAGTACTTTTTGTAGGTCTTGTTATGGTTTTGGGCTATATCCGCGGATTTTTACGTAAAATGAGTTCATCCGCTTCGGTGCCCTTGGCACCCATCGGCGTGCGCGGTATGAAAGTGCTAGATCGAGATAAATTCTTGCGCAACGTAAAAGTGCCAGTTCTAAAGGTCAAAGAAGAAAATTTGTCTAAAATAATACGAATCTGTAAACCTTACTTCCTTAAATTAGAAAGTTTTAAGACCATAACGAGTATAGAAGACGAAGAACTCAAGAAATGCATCTTTTTCAACCCCGAGAAAGTGAGTCAGTGGACTGACATTGATGAAAGTGATAGAACAGCTTTGTGTGAACTAAGCATCAAAGAAGCCAATTTTGGTGACAAGGAGATCCAACTCACGTATGACAATTGGCGTTTCGAAGCAATATTCAAAGCAGTTCTCCCTGAGAATGAGGAAGGGGTGAGTGGTTTCTCGCAAATAGGCCACATTATACATCTGAACTTAAAAGAACACCTGCTTGAATACCGGCCTCTGATTGGTCAAGTGCTGGTTGACAAAGTAAAGACATGCAAGACTGTTGTAAACAAATGCAATGCCATAGACAACACATACAGAAACTTCAGTATGGAATTAATTGGAGGTGAAGAAGACTACTTCGTAACTGTTAAAGAAAACAACTGTATATTCCAGTTTGATTTCTCTAAAGTTTACTGGAATCCTCGCTTAGGAAAAGAACACGAAAGAATCCTTAGTTTCCTAAAATCCGGAGATGTTCTCTTTGATATATTCTGTGGAGTTGGCCCCTTCGCTGTTCCTGCTGCCAAAAGAAAAACAAAAGTGTTTGCCAATGACCTTAACCCAGATTCTTTTAAATGGTTGAATCACAATGCTAAGAACAACAAAATTAACTCAGTATATTTCAAATCTTTCAATAAAGACGGGAAGGATTTTATTTTGGAAGAATTTAAGGATTATATCATTGACTTATGTAATGGTAAAGAACAACTAAATGGAAAGATCCATGTTACTATGAATTTACCTGCTATGGCAGTGGAATTCTTAAAACATTTCAATGGATTAATAAAAGACGAGAAACTGTCTGAAAAGTTAAATAAAGAAATTATTGTGTATGTCTACTGCTTTGCTTTGGGCGAAGACCATGTTGAGATCGCCAAGAAAATGGTGATTGAAAACATTGGATGTGATGTTTCTTCGCTCATAACTGACGTGTTTAATGTGCGGAATGTTGCTCCCAACAAGGAAATGATGAGAGTGACTCTTAAGTTAACCAAAGAGGTTTTGTTCAGTGAGAACTTAAGTGACAGTGTAAGTGAACCTCCTTCGAAAAAAGTGTGTGTGTAACAGGACACAGATAATGTATTTTTTCTATTCTGTGGTGTGTAAAGAGTTTTTATTTTTGTTACATTTGTTATCACTTCAAGTGCCTCGAAAAATGATGTAATAAAGTACTGGAAATATCACTTTCTTTTTTCTTATCTTCTTATGTTTATCATTAAAGATTACGCTGCTCTGTTGGTCAAGTATCAAGTGCAATTGTTAAACAATGTATGCAGTCCTTGATTCTAAGGTCAAGTATATCTATTATTGAGTCTTTCAGTTTTGGAAAATTCTTATTAGTCAATAGCTTTGGAGTCTAGGATTATGTTTAGTCTTGGACTTCCCCCTATTACATGAGATATAAATTATAATTACTGATGTAAAATAGCCTGTTTTGTGTCATATCATGACAAAAATAGTCAGAATTCCTACATCACATTTGTTTTTAAAAGTACTGACTCATCCTTGTTATGAAGTAATTGTACCTCTGCATAATCACTGCTGTTATCAATCGAGTTTATACTAGTAATCAGCACAAAATCCTCAATACACAAGTCATATAGTCTGATAGTGACTTTACAATCACTGACATTATATTTTAAAGTATCTAGGAGATATTTTTATCTGATGTATTTTTGAATGGGCGGTAACGTGACTTATCATTGGTCGACTCGCAAGTCCGATTGCCGACCAAGAGATCTTGCATTAGACTCCCGGTTCGCGGTTCGGTACCAAAAATAGACAATCATTTTCTTTTTCATATTAACTAATACGAGGTACTTTTTGTCCTAATCAGGATGGTAACGAAAATAGTGTCACATTTCAACAGATTTCATTAATTAATTTGATAAGTTGTTTTTTTGGAAATTCACAGTCAAGCTTATTTTTGCTTATGTGCAACCATTTCTAGAAGAAATTATAAAAAATATCGTAAGTGCAATGGACGTTGACTTAAAATAATTAAAGAAAAGTTAATCAATGTCTAACGTTCTTTATTCAACATTCTATTACAGTTTTCTATTCATACCTTTATCGTGTATACAATCTAAATGAACATGTGATTATTTAGCCTCGGAACTACTTGCAAGTTCCGACCAACATTTTTATGATAAGTGAAAACCTTCAAAAGACGTCTAACTTTCTGGGAAGAAAACCTAGGGTGTGTGGAATTCTTACCTCTCTTAACTTTTTTTGTGGGACAAGACGGTAAACGAGCAGACGGATCACCTGATGGCAAGCAATCGGCGTCACTCACGGACACCTGGAACACCAGAGGCTTTAGAAGTGTATTTCCGGTCTGTTGGGGATTGGGAATTGAGGAGATTGTGGAAGGGGGGATTGGGCTAGTAACTCCAGTCAGACGACGAAACACAACGCTAGCGTTGTTTCACGTCGGTTTTCTGTGAGGCTCACTCCTGTCGAGCCGGCCGATTCGTGCCGAAGGCCCTCCCACACTTCTACACTAACTAAAACCGTCGCAGTGCCCACCATCAGCACCTATACCTTTAGCCGCGTGGCACTAAAACCTTGCGTTTAGTCACCCGTGGAAACCCCACATGAGGGGAACCGTCTCTAAAAAGACCAACACGTTTTACCTCTACCTCTAAAAAGACCAAAGTTTTTAGAGATCATTCGTACTGAAGGTTTAGAGTGGCAGTTGGTATAATTACGTCCTACCTACCTAAAAACCTCGGGTAGATTGTTATTGAGTATGTAAGACATAAAGCCGTAATTTATCTTCAATTACACGCTACGATCCACAGGAAATTCGAAGGACAGGAAGGTCTATAAACTAATAATAATAAATAATATGGGTAATAAAATTAAGTGGGAAATAAAATCCTGCATTCAACACAATTTTTCAACTAAAGTTTTTTAGTTAGGTATTACCAGTGACCTTATCAACTGTTCAAACATATCTACTCTAAGTAATTATTTGTTTCTGCATACATTTCCTTCGGAACGAGCCACTCAGGCAGCGCCCCGTGGCGAACGTCGGAAATTAATTCATCAATTAATCTTGAAACTGCTTTTGTAACTGTATACCGCGGTGTTACTCGCGTAAATTAATGATTTCATTAATTTTTAATTATGAAATTTTTCTTACATGATTTCAACATCAATATTACCTTACCCCTTACCGTCCGTCCACTGCTGAAACTGGGTCTCTCTAACAGCAAGCACCTGATCTTAGTATTCAAACTGATTAGTTTAGCTTAGCTTATGAGGGCATGCAGTGTCCAGCAATTTTACCATTGCCCCTAAAATGCTAACCTAAAAAGTTCAATGAAAAACTAATAAAATAAGACCTCCATGCCTTTAAGTCTCAGTGGCGCCAACTATGATAATGATAAAATTCTATTGTTTGGTAACACGTTTAGACGCACGTGGTGAGATTAATGATACCGCTGATGTCAGTTAGATAATAAATACTCTGGCTGATATAGCTAACTATATGAGAAAAAGTCTTATTTGAGATTACTCTTATTAACAAGCAACTTATTCAACATTTTTCAATACAATGTATGTGCACGCGAACATGCTATCTAAGGTCAAATGATGTGAATTGCTTCTCGAGCATGACGCCTTAAATAAAATAAAACATATGAAGTAGATGATTACTCATCGCCATGGGAAAATTAACTTTATCTACAAACAACGAAAAGCAATAAAAAAATAGAAACCTACACTAAAGCCTTACTTTAAACATAATTCGTGAGTCGCGGAGAACCTAAGGGGTAACCGGGGCTCCGGCTCGACGTGCAGGAGAAGGAACGGGGTGGTTTTTAGTCAGTAAGAGTCTGACACTCCCTCCCACCTCACCCACGCGGGAGCAGTCATACGATGATTTTCTCCCCTTAAAAAAAAAAACATAATTCGTGAATAATATCTTAAATACCCACTGACTATCAAAAGGTCATACAAATTAACCAAAATACCGAATTCACATCAATAAAAATACTTACAAATGTGTATTATAAGTTTATCACAATGGACGGCCTTGGTACGCGTAACAGACTGACATAAGAACAATACGAGGAATAAACATGATGTAGGTACCTATCGTTGAGTAGAAGTTAAGTATAGTTTCCATTTATTTGCAGTTCACAACGTGCGATGCTCCCGATCGGAGAGGTTTCAAATATGGACCTACTAGACATCGGAGAGGCTTTACAAGAATCTGAACAGGTATGGATGGTTTTCTAGTTATTTTTTTTTTGTACAAGTTTTGTGTCCTGATAAGTGAAACTTAGTTGAATTATAAAAAAGTTTTTTTTTTAATTTTTCTAGTAGTGACTTTATTTATACCTACTTAATTCGCTTACGAACAATCTAAAACGTTAACTTTGATTAATAGTGGAAGCGTTAATTTTGAATGAGTACCATATATGACTCCCCATAAACTTTGTTTTTTGACCTACGACTTTGGGAGACGATGATTCATTCAATTTAAACCTTTTTCCTTCTCCAGGTACTAAGAGAATGCTTCACAAAATACCAAATAGACGAGGTATTCCTCTCATTCAACGGTGGAAAAGACTGCACAGTGCTCTTAGATTTAACTTTAAACGTTTTACGTGATATTTACAAAAGGGATGACATTGCCAGTGAATTAAAAGTGGTGTATATTCGGACTAATGGACCGTTCAGGGAAATTGAGACCTTCGTGGATGAGGTTAAGGAACATTATGGTGTGACACTGCTCGTGACCGAAGGTGAAATGAAGAATACGCTACAAAGACTGTTAGATCAGGACGAGAGACTGAAGGCTGTTCTCATGGGGACGCGGCGGACAGACCCGTACAGCGAGAATTTACAGTTTATGCAGGTAATTTTTATACAATTTATACATCTCCCATAAACATAATTATTTTAGAGTAGACAATATATTTGTCGTAAGCCTTAACCTTAATTTCCCGCGGTTGTCGTAAGAGCCGACTACACATTTGATAGAGATCGGGCAGCAGTTGTTTCTGATAAACCTGATTAGTTTAAACTGTCTTTTTCCTATCCGCCTGCCGTCTCCTCCTTTTGCGAAGCAATCTTGCTAGCTAAGGAGGTGGCCTTTCGCGTAAGGCAGCGAAGCGCTGCCTCCTTACAACCTAGCCTTGGCTAAGGACACTTCAGGCATCGGGGATCGCGGGACGATCTCCTGCCACCGTAAACACGGGCCTGCGGACGGCGAGCATGGGTGACTCGCCGCCCGACCAGAACCAGACTCGAGCGTACGGCGCGTCGTATTCCGCGCGCGCCTCAAAGAGCCATCAGACTACCACGAATGGGGTCCAATAGGGCTGATGCCGATACGGAGCCGCGGAGGACTTAACTGGTTGCCGGGGCTCCGGCTCGAAAGGCAGGAATAGGAACGGGGTGGTTTTTGGTCCGTAAGAGTCTAACGAGCTCCCGCCTCATCCAGGCAGGAAAAGTCATTCAAAGATATTCCCCTTTTTTTGACTGCCAATAAAAACTGTTGAATGTAAATCCTCCGCTAACGTCGGTCACCGGTGACCCCCATGGCGTTTAACGTGTTAAAACAAAGAAAAACAATCTGCCTGCCAATCGCAGCGATTATGGCAAATCCTTATTCGTATAGTCTGTCCAGCACTGGAATGCCACTGGCTGTTAATGTATCACAAGAATTCTAAGAAAGCTAATATTACTTGCTTGTAATGAGTCATACAAAATTCTGTAACTTTTAACATTATTACTAGTTCCCAGAAATGTCCTTAACAATGGAATCGAGTATGTACACTCCCTGATCGATATAATGTGTCCGATAAGAGTGGACATGACAATATTAGAATTCTACGTATCCCATATCATATGTTTAATCAATATCTCACTTGTTGATTGCCTTATTAGTAGACAACAGCAACTGCTGAACAAAGACCTTCAGATGCGATTGCTAGGGTAACCAAAGTAGGTTTTTCAATCGAAAGTCAATTCTTAACTGTAGAATAAAATTGACATTTGACAGTTTTTTTTAGTATGGAAGAATTGTCAAATATTCAAAGTTATTCTTCTGATAAAACCTATGTACCTCTGTTTTTATATATATATATATATATATATATATATATTTTTCTGTGTATTGTCTACGTGGTGTACATGAATAAATCTATACAAATAAATAAAATTGGAGTGTCTGTTTGTAATATTAAAATAACTGCTTCCTACTACATGCATATGAATGTATATACGGTACACATACTAAAATATATTTTTTTAAAATTTTTGTCTGTCTGTCTGTCTGTTTGTTCCGGCTAATCTCTGGAACGCCTGGACCGATTTGGACGGGACTTCCACTGGCAGATAGCTTATGTAATAAGGAGTAACTTAGGCTACTTTTATTTTAGAAAAAATCTTTTATTTTAGAAAAATAAAGTTATGTTGAAATGTTCAAGTACTGTCCAGTTCCGCGCGCAGCTCACGCGCATGCCACTACTGTGTCGTCGCATCGGATGTCGATCGGATGTCGTCTGTCTTTGTTACTGCATCAGGGATCAGGGATTTTAAAGACAAAATACGAATTCAATTGACTGAATACAATTTATTCATAGACTAGCCTCTGTCTGCGGCTTCTCTCGCGTTCTTTTAATGGGGTGAGGGAAGGATTTACAATAAAAAAATGAAATGATGCACGATTCTATGCTGGTCACAAATAACCCGCATACCAATTGTTAGCTTTCCACATTGAAAATTGCAAAATACCCCATACAAACTTTCACCTCTGTTTCACGGAAGTGGAAGGGAGTTAGAAAAAGACAAAAAGTAGCCTAAAAACCTTCCTGACTCCGTTCTGTCGTGAAATACGGACAAACAAACAAACAAGCACATACAAATTTATATTATTAGTATACATTTCTTAAGTCATCTGACATTTGTGTGACAAGTGAGTTTACAAAGTCAATGTGTCATAGATTTTTTTTATACTATGGTATTAATATTAAGGTATGCAAAGAGGTTGACAGCAGTCTAAGGAGATAAAACCACGAATAAAATATTTTCAGTTTACTTGAATTCGTATTTTTTATATGTATATCAAAAAAACTAGCTAAATGCACATAGCTAAAAAATAATATTAGTCCTTTTCATTTTAGACCGTCAAGGCCAAATTCACTATGATAGTTTGCTGTTTGTTTATGGCATAAGCCGGTAAACGAGCAGACGGATCACTGCGCCGCCCATGGACATCTGTAACACCAGAAGTGCTAGAAGTGCGTTACCGGTCTTTTGGGAATTGGTAATTTGAGGATTGTCAGGGATTGGGGGGGCTGGGGGAGGGGTAATTGGGCCTCCGATAACCTCACTTACACAGCGAAACACTCCTTTAGGTAACCGAGGGCTGGGCTCGCTGTCATTGCAGCGGAAAGTCCCCTCTTTAAAAGTGGCTTTAGAGAGGCCATCAATGCAAGGACCGCCCGGAGAACACGGTGGAGCATACCGTGGCGGTGTACCTTGCATGGGCTGAGCACCGCCGTGTTCTCAGGGATGTAGGAATCGGTGACCTCTCGCGTTCGGCTCTGGTTCAGGCCATGGAGCGAGGGGGATTGGGATGCAGTCGCATCCTTCTGCGAAGCAGTTATGCTTGCCAAGGAGAAAGCGGAGCGCGTGAGGGAATGAACTTCCTCACGCCCCAGCCGTCGCGGGAGACACTCTGGGCGTCGGAGATCGGCCGGCCACCGGCCACCGTAAGTGCGGGTCTGTAGACGAAGAGCAAGGGTAGCTCGCCACCCGACCAGAACCAGTCCCGTGCATACGGCGCGCGCCTTACAGAGCCATGACACCATCATAGATGGAGCCCAGTAGGGCTGATGCTCGATACGGTGCCGCGGGAGGCCTAACGAGTTGACGGGGCTCCGGCTCGACGAGCAGGAGTAGGAACGGAGTGGATTTTAGTCAGTAAGAATCTGTCACTCCCTCTCACCTAACCCAAGGCGGGAGAAGTGATTGGATGATTTTCCGACCTCAAAAAAAATCTCCTTTAGGTAATGACAACCCGATGTGTGAAAAACTACCAAAAAAACTCCTTATATTATTGGTATTGATTACGCTGTGGAAATTATGGACAATAGAGCCAAGGGATGTATTAAGTCTTATAGAGGACATTAATATCAACATTAAAGTACATGTATCATATGTAACTAACCTAATATCAGAATACCTATTTTTTCATTTAAATGTTTGCGATAGTAACGCACGTCGCACCGGTACATATCAGGTCACATTATAGGAGAGAGGAAATCCCAAAATGACGGAAACTATGCGCTAAAAAACCGGGACCAAGGACGTTGAAATAAAGAGGGGCTCTTACCTTTTAAACCATTGAACCTATTTGGTGAAATTCGGTACAGCGATAGTTTGAGACCCGGGAAAGGACATCTAAAAGTTTTTAACTCGAAAAACCCACGAAACCGGGAACTGTGCTGTTAAAATCACTATATCTATTTGATTGAAATGCGATACAACATAGAATAGTGAAACCTCACGAGACGGGCACTGTACGGGTAAAACCTCCATGGGATTGTTTATTTTAGAAACCACGAAAATAAATTCATTTCTCAATAAATATAACCTAGGTACTGAATCGACTGTGATGATATTTGTTCCAGTTGTACAGCCGTAGAATATACCTTGACAAAGACTAATTTAAAAAACCCAATTTATACAGAAGTCGTTATTTCACGCGGACGAAGTCGCGGGTAACAGCTAGTGAATAAATAAATAAATAAAATATATCTGGCGTTAGTAATATCGGCGGTTTAGCTTTTCGACCTTCAAAACTGTCACAGAATTAGAGTAATCAGTCACTGTAGCATCCTTCTTAAATTACTGAACATGTTCCTACATCTCTTGTCCACAGAAAACAGACCCCAACTGGCCACAGGTAGTTCGTGTCTCTCCTCTACTGAATTGGAGCTACCATCACATATGGAGCTACACCCTACAGCGACGAGTGCCTTACTGCAGCTTATATGATAGAGGGTAAATCTTCAGATAGCATACTTTTTTCTTAAAAAACATTTAAGTTAAAATTATTCTCAAATATTTTTTGTAGGTATTGATAAATTGGGTTTGTAAGATAATTAAGTTTGCCTGACTAATACTAAAATTGGGTTGGTCATAAAATCAATTAATGATAGTGTGATTATTTTATAATATTTCATTATATTGAACAGTCGAAATTTTTTTTTGATTAATATAAGTATTCTTCCCATTCAGTATTATTCCCAATTCACACTTTTTCACTTAGCTAAATGCCCAATTCTTATTACGTATGAAATTTGTATGACTGACTCTTGATGATGTTGGATGACTCTTGAAAATTGTAAACCGTATTTGCCGATGACCTAAGTACTTTTACTTATTATACTTGACACCTAAATATATTTTACCAAATTCCAGCTACACATCAATCGGCAGCATACACAACACATGGCCCAACCCCGCACTAGCGACAAAAGACGACTGCGGCTGCATCACGTACTTACCGGCGTGGCACTTAACCGACGCTTCTCTAGAACGGGCAGGACGTGGCACTGCACCTAAGGTACCCGTCAATGGACACGCAACATATAGCAATGGTATTGAAAACAACCATATAAACGGAATAGACAGTAATCACAAAAGTAGCGATCATATACATCCGTCATGCGTATAACAGGATGTTAACAGTAAATAGTTACTAATTGTTTGTTTATAGTATTGATGCAAAGTTCTGGAAATGTGTATGTGTGCGTAATTGCGCGGTTATAGTGATTTCTAGATAATAATTGGCCTCCTAGACAAATGGTATGTTTGAACTGAAGTGAATAGAAAATTTTATATATACAGAAGTTTTTTTTATGGCATAAGCCGGTAAAAGAGCAAACGGATCACCTGATGGTAAGCAATCGACGTTGCCCATGGACACCTGGAACACCTATTTTTTACCTACAGTTACACCTACAGTTATCGTGTGTGTCAATCCTTGATTTTTTTGTTCACTTCATTTCGACATGCGCGTGTCCATTTCTATAAGGAGCAAATTAGATGATTTACTTCATTAACAAATGTTTTAGACAACTCCTAATGTGGAGGCTTTTGTTCAACAGGGACCTGATGACGAGTATTTTCATCCTACATACATATAACAATTAGTAACTACAAATTACAAATTACATCTCAATGTGAACGCAGCTTTAGTCCGAATTCAATCTCTAGAACGATATATTTTATAAATGTTATCATGTAATAAAATAACCGATAACTAGTTTAATTGCATAATTAGTTCACTTGAGAACTCGTTATTATCAAATATAATGTAATAATATTTATAAAAGTAAACATAGTAATTACGATATTTATTTTAATTATGTAAACAATATTTGCCAATATTTTTAACTTATCTCGAATTTAGTTTGGGCAGACGTTTGAAGTTTTAATGGTGCTGAATTTAAAATAAATTTAAATACTCTATTAAAATTTGAAATAACTAAGTTATTCTAATAACATTAAGTAGTGAAAGTCGTCCATAAATTAAATGTTACCATGAAACAACTACATACTTAATTTATTTTAACGTATAATTACCTTTTAGCCATATGACTAGGATCTTCTTGATTTTATGTATTTAGTTCAACTGATAATGAATTGACACAATGCAAAAAGATTAAAGAATTATGTAAACATTGACATGGCTCTTATTACGTAACGTTAAGGTTCATTATCGTAGCTCTATCATAACTTGAACCCATTATTCGAAATTATGCAAATGATATGAATCTTCCTGCTGTATTATAATGTACCATCGGCAAAGTTTACGGTAGTACACTTTTTAAACAAAATCCTGTGGCAACCTGGCTATCTACCCTGTTTTTCATGTACCCGCACGGGCCGAGTGCATGCGAATATCGCCTAATGATAGTCGACCGCCAACTTTGTCGATTGTACGACCATATTGCTAATTCTTAATTATTTTAATTTGTTTAGAGCACTGATATCGAAATTAGTTTCTGCAAAAAATTGAATATAAAGCTACTGCATTATTGATATTCTATTACTGATAGTATAAAAACAAATATATGACAATACTTGTGTTAAAGAAAAACCAGTAAATAATACCAGTAATAAATTATTATTACGTAGTAGGACTACAAATACATGTATATCAAAGAATGTTGGTACAAAAACTCTAATAGATATAGGTAATATTAATTCATACATTATAAAAGAATTTTGATAACTGTGATGTAGAGTAATAATAATTACATGTTCGTTCATTCGAAAATGAAACTTGAGATAGTAATATTGTACTTAAATTATCCATAACTTGAAATTGACAAAGTACTTAATAAAGCATTAAAGTCTATATGTATAAAGTCTTAAGACTCATTTTACATTGCGCAGAATGAAACAAAAGTGCATGAAATCATATAAGTTAAGAACAAAATATGACCATACTATAAAAAAATCTCTTACTTGTTGCAATGTAAATTGAGTCTTAAGGCATGTTGCATCAATTGCAAATAAGTACCTAATAAGCTTATTGCGTAGGTACAATACAAATTACTTATTTCATAATTGCAATCGAGTAATAGTAATCGTTCGGTACTCTTATTGATTGGTTATCTGTCTGGTTGGCTATTGGCTGGTTGGCTATCCAGACTTTGTGAAACAGGTCCTAGCTTTTCAGAATCTTAGGGTTGATACCTGATACGGAGCCGCGCAGGCTTAACGGGTTGACGGGGCTCCGGCTCGAAGAGCAGGCGTAGGAACTGGTTTTTTATCAGTAAGAGTCTGACACTCCCTCCCACGAAACCCAAGGAGAAGGCATTGTATGATTTTCCACCTCAAAAAAAAACTTCAGAATTTAGTTGTACAGTTTTGTCTATGCAATCACCCGAAACAATTATGGCTTGACCATTTATGACACATTAATTTATGTTTTATTTTCGATACTTAATAATTTTGTGCTAAAATTAAATACATAATGAATTTATTTATAATGTCTCATTGTTAAATATAAATGTTACTTAACGCATTCAGTGCCCATGACGCGTCTGTGCGTTTTGTAACACGACACTATGTGCCCGCGACTCAAATATGCGTTCTATTCATTTGACCCTTTTTTTACCTGCTGCCCGTCGACGCGCCCGAGGGTCTATTGTTTCGAAACCCATATTTACACATATGTATTTCCTTATCTGATTTCTTTGATAAAGGTCATAACACACTACATACGAATTACAAAAAAACTTATTCTACTACTACCAATGCAATAATCAACAAATTTTGTTTAGCCGTTTCGAAATATAAATATAGAACAATTTAAAAAAGAACGTAAGACGATCACCGTGGGTGGTATTTTTTTTCAATGTTATCTCGATCATCTCATCTTTTTCCAAGAAACCTAAAATTTCACATGACACATACATACGCACAATAGAATCACATTAGTTTGCTGATAACGGCAATACATTGCACGGCGGTGCCTTAGAAGATTTTAAATACCACGAGAGCTAAAGCCAAAATCTACCTAGATACCTAATTGTTTTTCCAACAAACCTAATATTTCATATGACTCTTATCTACATACGCACAATAGAATCACATTAGTTTGCTGATAACGGCAATACAATGCACGGCGGTGTCTTTGAAGATTTCAAATACCATGTCCACCAGGTGCTATAGCCAACTATCTAAATGTTTTAGGATAAACCTATACGAGATAATAAGTACCTTACTAAATATCTATGGTGAAAGACTATAATTTATATATACTGGCATCGCGTCGTAACATACGTTTAAAAATCCAACATCAACCTCCTATGTTTTTGAAGTTGGTTAATTAGTATACTAAACCCATCCCCTAAATGTAACAAAAGTTTTTCTGAAAACCGCATCAAAATCGGTTCAACCAATCGCGAGATAATCGCGTACAAACAAACACACAGGTCAAACTGAGAACCTCATTTTTTTTAAGTCGGTTAAAAATACAACAATTTTCTAAATATAAACCTACTTACCAACTATAGAATTATTACGTTCATCCTTAGTTTATATTTAGATAAATTTTTCAATTTCACTCCATAAAATAAATAATCTTATGGATTATAAATTCCATTACAGTGTGTCATGACCCTAACTTTTATCTACAGATACATAATATTCTATCGTATTTTCGTAAGTATATAACAAACGCACAGACGCGTCACGGGCACTCGCCGAGAGTCGAACGGACGCATATATGAGTTTCGGGCACACGGTGAGAGCCGTAAGAACGCGTATATGCGTTTCCGGCACACGAAAAGGGCAAATATTGAACGCAATAGTGCGTGCACTGTAGTATGTCTTATAATTCGGGCACTGGAGAAAATCCACTGGGCAGTGAATGCGTTAAGTATTTATTCATTTTGTAATCGTCTTATTTATTTTTAGATGTTTTTGTGAAGTTCCCATTCGAAATTTCATGTATTTCGAGGCTGCTCTAAACGAGATTGTATTTTCAAAATTGTGCTTAATTTTATGTAAATGACGGATATAAATTATTTTTATTCACAGGGGATTTTTCTCCATAGCTTTAATATTTTGTGAACTATTTTTAATTTCAATTTAATGATGACACATTTTTTAATGTTTTTAATTTTTTCTTTTTTTGCTCTCGCAATATTATTTTTCTTATATATTGCAACACCAGCACTGTTGTGTTACTACTTAAATAATGTTTTAATAAAACAACTTAATTTAGTAAACAAAACGTCTTTTTATTTAATTTTTTTCTCACTTACAACATTAAACTGGAATTACTTGTGTATAAAAATATTCTTACCTATATTTACAGACTTTCACAAAAATAAAAATGAACAATTATGTTTCGTTACCGGTATTATTAGGCTTTACGTGTTTCCTAATGAAATCTTGGAACATCGCAACGTCTGCTGGACTATCATCTGAAAAAAATCATAAGTTTCATTTAAATGGAACATCATTTTACACAAATTGGTAGGTAACTCAAAACCCACGTTATAAATGATGTATCTAATGTGAACACATATCACTGTAGATTGATCGCGAATCTAAGCGATAAAATGTAAAAAGTGAGATTTTTTAACATTGCCTCACATATGTTTTTCTCCTGTATCGTGGGTACGTTTACAAACATTCAATTTCACATACACATGTCATGTGTGTCAGACTCGAAACATCAATTTATAAAACCCACAAAGAGTTGCTCCGTCCGAGAATCGAACCCGCTACACGTTTCGCGACCAGTTACCGAGACACCACGCCAATTGTGCAGTCAATAGATAGAAGATGTATGTAAAAAATCGACGAACAAATCACTGTTTAGCCAACTATAACATAGTCTCAACTAACTCAGCTCAGGTTCATTCTCGGTGCCCTCTTCATCGCTGGAACTCTCATTGGCTGGGTGCTTGAGGTACATATCACTGATCTCACGACCTGCCGACAACTCCTCGATTAAGCTCTTCTTGTCTATCACTGTGTCATCTGGACCTGGGAAGAAAGGATAATTTTGTTGGTATTATATACAGTATGAGCATTAAGTAATGTGACTGTGAGCCCAGTGAGCTGCGCGACGTCGCCGCGACCGCGCACGCTGCTCATGAGGAAGAACCCCTCTGTGGTTCGAAACTAGTAGAGCTTTTCTCGGTATATTCACGTGAGTAACCCGCGGTTTTACTTAAATTAGTATGTCTCACGATAGTTTTTATAAAACACAGTATGAGTATTCTATGATGATAACATAAAATAATATGGTGTTGTTTTGTTTTGTTCACATTGAATTCTGCTGTGCAACTCTTTAATATGTACCTTTTTTCTTTAATTCCTCTGCCTTTCGTTTCTCCTCTTCTAATTTTTCTTCTCGCATCTTGAGCCAGTCAGCTTTGTAATCTCTAGAAAAGTAAAAATTCGCTCATGAAATTATTTGTCTTTTTACTCGAACAAAATTAATATTATCTTACATATAGTCAAAGTCAAAGCACTTTTGAAACGTTTAAAATTGAATTGGCCGTACGTCCGTCTGTTAGTGAAGCTGGGCGCTCGTTCCAAAGTGTAGTTTCGAATGGAGAAGAATGAGCAAGCAAGTTCATCTTTACTCTTTAAAAAAATTACATACCTTTCGTATTCCTCTGCAGCATCATCCACTAGTTTAAAGAATTCATCTAGCCCCTGTAAAAGAATACATAACCATTATTTCACAATAATTCTTTTTTTTTCAAAAGGTCTACTAGAAAAATCAAAGTATGTTACCAGGAAAAAAAGCAATGAAATTTTATCTTATACTATACAGCTTATATATACAGGTAGAGAGTTTGTTTTTGAATATGCTAATCTCAGAAACTCCCTACTGGTCTGATTTGAATTTTTGTGTTGACTGCCCATTTATCGAGGGAGGCTAAAGGCTATAAAAGATCACGCTACGATCAATAGGCGCCGAACATCTCAGCTAGGGATGAGGAACGATGAGCGTTGCACCGTAAGGGCTCAGGAGCAGGTCTCTTTTAGAGGACCCGGAGCCCCTCGCCCCTCGCCCCGTGCCCCTGAGGACAGGTGTTGAGGGTGGCAACCGAGGTGGTTTTAGTGAGGTACGAATCCCACACTCCCTAGGCTTTCCCCAAAAAGTTAAGCGCTTTTTGAAGGATTCCCCGTCAACAAAAAAAAGGCGCTGAACAGAGTGAATAAAACCGCACGAAAGTAGATAGTTTAAAATAAAAAAATAAGTACTAACATCACCAGTATGCGCACTAACACCACAGCACCTGAGATCCGAGTAGAATGTATCAAGTGCGAGTGCCATGGACCTGGTCAGGTTGCCAATGTAAGTGTTTCCTCCTTCTGTCTCACTCTCGCCCTCCGCATCTAACGCCTCTTGAAACGCCTCGAAGTCTCGCATCCATTCCACTGCGTATGAATTGTCTACTACATCTGTCTGTAACAGGACATTTACTTAATAAATATTTTATGTAACCAACAAATTGCGTTTATGAAAGTACCTACTTACTTAGAATAATTTTAAAACTTTGGTGGAACATAATAATATTATGTATGTGAACTCATAATATTTACAAATGCACCCTTAATGCTGGAGCTAACCATAATGCAGGTTATCTATACATAGTTTAATAAAATCATAAGAAAGTAAATACTGTATGTCAAACTTCTTTTTTAAAGAATGCTTGGCGCTTGATCTACAGATACCGAAACCAAAAATATGGTTATTAAAAGTAGTCTCTAAGTATTGGAAATAAGGTCTATAATGTAGTTAGTGGAGAGCGGTCACCGGTGATCACTTGGGGATATATGTGTAAGAGATCAATCAACTATTTGATTATTCAAGTTGTACCATGAACTTATTACATATTTTCGTAATCTTTGAGTTGTTATTTATAGGTAAAAATTAGGTTAACTCACCTTATTCATTACAACAATGAAAGGCAATCTAGTCTTGTACAATATAGAGCAGGCGTACAACATGTTGGACATAAACGTAACGGGCGACACGCTGCGGACAGTGTCCATTACATACACAACTACAGTAGGACATGATGATGCGAGTGCTTCAGTCACTATTGTGCCTGACGCTGACCATGTGAACACTTCTATTTGACCTGGGAATAGAAGAAAGGTATTCATCATTATCATTAACAGCCTATAAATGCCCACTGCTGAGCAAAGCCTCTTCTCACACGGAGAAGGTTAGAGCATTAATCACCACGCTGGCTCAATGCGGGTTGGCGATTTTAAACTTATAATTAGAAATTATAAGTCCAGGTTTCCTCACGATGTTTTTCCTTCACCGTTTGTCAGTGGTGTCTAAATAATCTTAGAAAGTACATATAACTCGGAAAAAGTCACATTGGTACTTGCCGATGGTAGGTTTCGAACCTGCACCCTCATGCATGAGAAGTGGGCGTCTTAAACCTCCGGACCACCACGACATAATCAGAAAGGTATTATGATTACAATATGTCATATCAATAGTTCTTGTTTAGTTTTTATCTACCAATATTATGGTGCACCGAGCATCAATACATGATGCTTATGATATAAAATGAAATGTAACATCTTGTAACCTTTCAGTATTCCATTTATTTTCATCCTCTATAACCTATGAAACAAACTATGTCTTAATACTAAAAACTAAACAAATATCCTCTTCTTACTATTTAATTAAAAACATAAAGAAAATAAGCCACATACCCGGTGTATCAATAATGCAGTACTTATGTTTCTTGCCCGCTTTCTCAATCAGGTCCACAACTTGACCAAACTTTGTAGAGAACAGATTGAGAGCAGTCACAATGCCTCCATTGGGACCCAGCCCATACTGCTTCATCACCTCTTTATAGTTTACCGTGTCTCTTATATCTGAAAATTATAATAATATTATCAACACTAGACCACTGATATCTATGATCTAAATACATTTATAGAAAAGTTAAGGATTATTTGTATATATTTGGTGGTTTTAGTGCGCAATAGTTACATTAGACCAGTCATAACACAGCTTGAACGGGTTTAAACTTGATTTCACATACCGATATTGGCAGGATAAGGCACTTCTCTACATGCTGGATCTAAGTTGATCAGGTAAGGCCTGGAACTATTCACGACTTTCCCAGCAAGCCGACGAGTAAAAGATGTTTTTCCAGCACCCGCCATACCTAATTAATAACAAAATATAAATAAAATACCCCAAACATAGACCATGAAAATTATTGGACCAATTCTAACCTAAAACGATTAAACATATCGGTTTTTTCGTATCTTCTTCCATAGCTTCAGGCTTAGGTTCACTTGTAGCAGCTGCAGCCATTTTGCAAACTTATTATATTAATTTTATTAACTTTTGTAAGATTTTGAAACCCACTAGTTCCCTTTCCACTGTTTACAATCATACAATGTAACGACGAAACGGAACATGTTAAATTAAACTTATGAAATGTCAAACTTGACACCTTCTTTGACACTGACAAAGGGTGGTGAAAGTAATAGGTAAAACTTGTTTGGTGTTTTGTGAAGTAATTTTCTTTAGTCGATTCATCGTATTATGTACAATGAATCGACTAAATAAAATGTTATATTTGTTTTTACTGGTTTGATCAAGACTTTGATATATCTTTGTTCAACACATTTTTGTTCTATTATTTATTCTTTATTCTATAATTCATAAAAAAAAATATTTATTTATTGTAAAAATGGTAAGTAATATGGGAATTTCGAATAATCATCGTCTCATTTAAAGTAAACATTTTGTTTTGTACTTTAGTAGCATTAGGCACTTTATTTTCGCATTAAAATTATTTACATATTTACAATTCTTCATCATCACGATCAGCCCGTGTTCGTCCACTGCTGGAAAAAATCCTTAACAACCTTTAATTTTCCTTCTCGAGATTTAAAAACATTATAGGATAAAGATGTCCAAGTTTTGAAATTCTTTTCTGTATAATCAATCTCAAAGTGTCCGTATATGTTGCCGGGGGCTTGCAAGTGGAAGGGTCACGCCAGTGGAGACCTGTAAAAGCAATCGTAATATAATTATTGGTTCTTGATTAGTACTCATTGTTGATAATAAGAAATAAATAAGATACATACCAGTAGAATCACAAGTAAATAAGGCAGGGGAAGGCACATGATCTCTTGTGTAATTCCATAAACAATCACGGAGAACTTGCACTATCTGAAACAAAAATAACATCATTAATAAAAAATCGTCAAATATTATTTTGTATTTAAATGTGAACACAATAATTATTGTTAAACAAACAAATACCTCGCTAGCCGTAAGCTCGGGTGCCAGCTCGAGCATATGACTGAGTGGATGAGGTAACAGTTGTCCTAGTGTCATTGTAGACAGTAATTCCGTAAGTGCAGCACGTTCCTTCGCCATCTCTGCCGACTGTGTGTGTCGATCTAAAACGAAACGATTTAAATTCAGTATATATTTGATTTAATTCTTTGGCGCTCGGCCATCCTGACAAATTTGGTGTCAGAAGTAGGATTTTTCAGACCGATTAACGAAAAGAAATGTATGAAATTGCTAAGCTCAATAGTGTTCTGACTGATGGGATACAAACCAAGATAAGCTCGGAGTCGATGTAGCAACGTAGCAGCAGTGGCCCGCAGTAACGCTGACGCGAGACACAGCGCGGGCCGCGCGGCCGCCGCACGACGCAGCGCCGCGCGAGCCACTGCGCAGCTCTCTAACGCACCGCGCATGTACAGCTCACGTTCTATGCTTACTTGCTGCAAAATAAATTAAATTTTATTTTATGTTATTCTTCTAATAATCACGTTACAAGATGAGTTACTAAAACCTTTATTTAATCAGACATCACTGCATCAAGTTTACTTAAAAAATTTCTTGCACTACATACCTTGGTAAAATCTTCATCGGGCCAAGGAAGACCGTTGTACATGACATCTGGAGACACCAGCTCCACTAGTAACAAAGATACGGACGTGGCTCCTTCGACTAAGCCACTGTTACCATCCTGAGGACATGAAATAAATATTAATCGTACTACAGAAACTCTTATACTATAACATAACATAACAAAGATCATGCCTTTTATCCCCGAAGGGGTAGGCAGAGGTACACATTATGCCACTGTACAACGTAACACCCACTTTTCACTATTTATGTTTTGAGTCCCATGTAATGGGGGTGAGCCTATTGCCATATGGCAATAGCCCGGTATATACCGAGCACAATTCCAGACTCCGTGCTACTACTGAGATTTTTTTTAAAAACCCAGTAATAGTTTGCCCAACTCGGGAATCGAACCCGAGACCCCTTGCCCGGCAGTCGCACTTGCGACCACTCGGCCAACGAGGCAGTTGTTATAGTCTTATACTGTAATACGCGTAAAATTGTACGAATAAAATACTCGATACTTTTAGTCGATTTTCCCCAGCTCTTTAAGAACTTTACACAACACAGCACGACCTGTCATAAGGGCGGAAATATTCGACATCTGTAAAATATTCCTGGGCTTGAGCATTTTAAGCATGAAGCATTTCTTTAAACAGGTACTTATGAATTAATAATATTGCTTACTAAGCACCACCACCATAAATCCCGATAAAGAATTTCATTGCTACTTACACTTACCATGCAGGAGGTGAGCGCCCCCATGAGCAATTCGTTGTTTGTGGTCAGTATTGGCGGAATGTCGTTGGAGTCTGATGCGTTTGGTTTCCTCACGCCTTTTCCGATTATACCCGCGTGGAAAACTGACGTGTGGCTTTGAGTGAGCTGTGTTATTGGACCCTGGGAATGGAAAATTTTGAATGTTAAAAATTAATTTGATGTAAACTTGTTGATGAAGTATTTAAAAAAAACATTGGCACCATCAGGTGGCCTGTAAACTTTATGTCTACTATGTCTATGGAAATATATGAAGAAAATTTTCACTATTTATCATCATCTAATCACAAAGCAATATGAGAAGTTACAGGAAAATACGTATTTTGATAATAATTTAACCGGGTTCGCTAAGTAGTTTACAAGTTTTTTCAGTTCTTTGCTATAGGCAAAAATTAAAGTAAGCAAAGAAAAAGACTTTTTTTACCAGATTGGTCTTAAATATAGTCTGCCAAGTATTACAAGTCTATCATAGTTACTTACATGTTTCTGATTAAGATGTATGAGTAGATCATTGTGTGGATGATGATCATAGTGTGCAGGTTGTATGGGTCGGCTCCCGAACGCTGCGTCGTCCCTGAACATGGCGCTCTCCAACAGTTCCCTGAGCGCGGCCGCCCGCGCCAACTTACTCTGTACGCACAGCTTGCGAAGTAAACGACAAGCTGTCGCTACGCCACGAAGTTTTTCCATCGTCTCTGTACATAATAAAAAAATATATAATTTACGGACTATAAGGTGCGGCCTTATTTTGTCACAAACTCCTTAGCTAATGGCGACACAGTAAAAACTGAACAGCAGTTTTTCATAACCTTTGCGTGGACTTGTTTGAACCTATTAGTATTTACTGTAGTTTTATTATGTGACTGTCAAATAAAGCTAACATCCAAAGTCAGACAATCAGTATTTAAGAAGTATTAACAAATACTGCCTCGTTTGCCGAGTGGTCGCAAGTGCGACTACCGGGCAAGGGGTCTCGGGTTCGATTCCCGGGTCGGGCAAAGTACTATTGGGTTTTAAAAAAATTCTCAGTGGCAGCACGGAGTCTGGAATTGTGCCCGGTATATGGCAATAGGCTCACCCCCTATTACATGGGACTCATAACATAAATAGTGAAAAGTGGGTGTTACATTGTACAGTGGCATAATGTGCACCTCTGCCTACCCCTTCGGGGATAAGAGGCGTGATGTTATCTTATGGATATTAACAAATATTACCTTTTAAATGCAAACACCTGAAGAAATATTTGACGGTAGCCTGTACCACTTTCAGAATAACTTCTACGCTCGGCGGCGGGGCTTTAGTTCCTGTCATGTCTACTCGGTCCAAAACCTGGGATAATAAATGCATAATATGTTTTTTAAAATGTATTGTAACCATTTTGTGTTTTTAGTGAAGAAAATTATTACAATACTAGTTGAACCGGCAAACTTTGTACGGCCTAAAGAAAATTTCTCACCTTTTAAACCTTCCCTGGAGTTCCACAGATAATTCAAGACCAAAATTACCCAAATCATTTAAGCCGTTCTCAAGGTTTAACGAGACTAACGAAAGGAAATTCATTTTTATTTACATAGATTAATTTTCATTATTTAAAATGAAAACTAAGGCGACAGCTGAATTGCAATGCTCATAGTTAAGAAGGAGAGATCTAATTCCAAGAGATAAGATGATTAAGATGAATAAACTATAGGAAAATGAGAAAAGGAAGGAAAAGAGAGAGACAGGAAGGAAAAAAAACATAAGAAATACTGAACACAATCTCAATAACAACACATATTTTTATAAAACTCACCTCAGCCAAAGCATGGCATGTAGGCATTTCATCCAAGTAAGCCATGGTGCCCTCCTTCCTGATCCTCATCAAGGAAGTATACTCCTGCAAGGCGCCGCCAATGCGGTACAAGTTCGCTTCCACCGCGCGACCGATCGGACGGGTCCGTAAGTGGGGGACGCGGTTCGAATTTTCCCATCTAGTTTAATAAAGAAATAAACACTTTTGAGTATTATATTTAGCTTCCATTACAATTAGGCATCGAGTAACACTACAAGCACATTAATCATACAAATACGTATAAATAAAATACATGAAGCAGTGAAGTTATATTGCGTTGCTGACCATTCAGAGTAAAGTCACGATATGAATGTAATAAGCGTAACATTACGCCTTTTTATCCCCGGAGGGATAGGCAGATACTCTACTACATAATGCCACTGTACAATGTAACACCCACAAAAAAAAATTAAGGCAATAGCCTTAAACCGTGCACAATTCTAGACTCCGTGCTATTACTGAGATTTTTTTTAAAAACCCAGTAATACTTTGCCCGACCCGGGAATCAAACCCGAGACTCCTTGCCCGGCAGTCGCACTTGCACCCACTCGGCTAATGACGCAGTCTAGTAACTTGAACATCATCATCATCATTAACAGCCTAAAGTAGCCACTCGATCAATGGCCTTTTCTCACATGGAGAAGGTATATTAACTTAAATTATACAAATCACAATATCACACACCTCAACAACTTGATGATATTCAAACAGAAATGATGTAAATATGTCTTCTGGTCCTTGGGCACGGAACCGTCAAGGAAGCACATCTTGATCTCAGTGTCAGACAACATGGCGTCCCTCAGAGCGTACTCCACTCCTGTCTTTACGAAATTCTGATACCTGTTCAACAAATTAAGTTTTTTTCTTGGATATGGGCTATTCAGCTTAAGGATATGTAACACTAGAGGTGTTACACGTTCATTTCCGGCCTTTGAAGGCTTTTTTTAAGGGGGGAAAGTCATCGAATGACTGCTCCCGCCTGGGTGAGGCGGGAGGGAGTGTCTTACTCACTAAAAACCACCCCGTTCCTTCTCCTGCACGTCGAGCCGGAGCCCCGGTTACCCGTTAGGTTTTCGCGACAATAACCTTTGAAGGCTAGGAGAATTGGACCCTTGGAAACTCCACTCACGCGACGAAACACAATGGAAGCGTCGCTTTAATAGTTTTCTGTGAAGATGTATTTATTACTCCAGTCAAGGCGAGCCGATAAATTCGTGCCGAAGCTAGCTATCCCAAATTAAAATGGTGTAAAGACTAGAGTGTTATACCAATAATTTGACACAAAAAAATCTTGTCCTTAAAACATAATTGTGTTACATTTGTTCTACAAAAAAAATTACCTTTCAGTATCCATACTAATATCCGGACTGTCGTTAGGCACATGCATAGTGATGGTGCCAGAGATGATCCTCACAAGAAGGGCTAAGGTTGAATCATCTCGGGAATACTGCAGTAAATAACTGATTGTGCTCACAAACTCTGAAGGGAGGTTGTAACCTGAAAATAAAAATTGTTTTATTTTTTAAGATGGTCATAAGATAAATTATTATTTTGTAAATAAAAAAATATACTCACTGACTAAAATAAGTATTCTCGCTAGCGAATACTTTTCCAGCTGATTCCCATCAAGCAGTTTATCTCTAACAATATTGATTTCTTCAGCAGCACTCGTTAGTAATGGAATGTTTTTGTCGTGGAACAAACATTCAAATTCTAATTTCTGCAGTAGGTATTCTGGAACAGAATTATTAGTTTGAACTAAAAATTCTACAAAGAGTGACACGCAATGAACGTCATCACGCATTTTATGTCCTAGAGGGATTATGAATCCCAAGAGGTGAAATAAAAGACGAGATTTTATTTTATATTTTGCAGCTTCAAAGCAGCTGCACTACATAATGATAATTTATTTGATTCGTCTAATATACAAAAAATCATTTTGATTAAGCATCACTATGGTTTTTTACGGTTACTTAAGAATGAGACTATCTACTAATATGAGGTATCCTATACAGAGTGTTAACAGAACACTCCAGAAACACTGACAAAAAGAAATTGTTTTTACAGTTTTAATCGTTTTTTTTTTCGTGTTATTCGTACAACATCCTTGAGCAGTTGATTACAACTATTATTACATAAATAAAGGAAACATTCAATTCCTTATTTTTATGAAACTACTAGCTTCTGCCCGCGACTTCGTACGCGCAATCCGGTTTTGTCCCGTTCCCACAGGTTTTTTTTATCATAAGAACCTTCTTCTGACAGTAACAAACACGACAAAAAAAATCAGCCAAATCGATCCAGCCTTTCTCAAGTTATGGCGTGACAACGGAAAACGGGTTTCATTTTTTTATATATATTATAGATAACAATATAACTTGTTTCTTACCATCAACAGTCGGCTTTTTTCGGGAGCGTTCCGTTTACGCTCTGTATATATAAAACGTTTAGATAACGAAAAGGCGTACCAAGCAGTTGCCGACAGAACAGGTTGGAGAGTGCGTGCCTCAGCAGTAGGAGCAGACAGCGCACGTCGGCGCGCAACAACAGCGCCACCAGCGCGCCCGCCGACGTGTCCGCCCACGACGCGCTCGACCGCTGCGACGCGCACAGCGAGCACAGACGCTCCATCACCTCGTCCGTCACTGCCGACCAACAAATTGCTTTATTGGAATACCCGAAAAAGACAGGCTGAGAGACCGTCAAAACTTAAACACATTAAATGTAATTAGAAGTGTTTCAACAAGAGTTTTAGAAGTTAAAAACATTAGCGAAATCTGTCCATTTATTCCAGACTAACTATAGTTACTACGAACAAAAATACAAATAGACATCGGTATCAAACCAGAACATACCTTTTTTATGTCTGTGTATGTATAACATTAGTACTACATTAATAAAATTATTTAACTTTCTCAACACACAAAAGAATGAAGTTTTTACTTACATGTTTGTTCAATATCCTGAGTGAGAGCTTTGAGAACAATATCAGACTTCGATGCCAAGTTCAGCAGGTAAGGTATTACATCTCGCTTCTTTTCTGGCTTACTGTCTTCCCTGAGCGCTTCCTGTAAACAAGAAAAATTGATGTAATATTTGCTATATTTTTCCTAAACTTCGTAAATAATTTTACACACTTTAAGTAAAGATGTATATTGTAAATATTGTAAGCTCTCATTTACATATTGTCAAAATATTATGAGTCCTATTTTTTTATGGTATGAACCGGTAAATGACCATACATATCACCGGTAAGCAATAGGCGTCGCCCCTGAACTTCCGAAAAACCAGAGGCGTTACAAATGCGTTGCCGCCATTTTGGGGATTGGGGTATAGGAAATTGAAGATTGTTTTTGATTCAGGCATTGGGGAAATCGGGGAGAAGTGTTGTTGGGGATTCGTGGATTGGGGAGATTGGGGAGGGGGGTAGAATTGCGAATTTACTAATAACTTTATTAAAGCAAAAAAGAACTTTAAAAACTTACATGAAACAGATCTAAAACTGCGACTCGCACGTGATGAGTCGCCGGCGGATGATGTGCCAGGTGTGCCAAAACTGCTCTAGCGGCGTCCGCGCCCAACTGCAGCGCTCGAGGCGCTACTAGAGCCGGCTCCGCACGACCCACCCATCCTACAGCCCATGAACACGCCCAGGAACCTGTAAATATAAAATTATTTAGATATTAGTGAATGACAACCACAAAATACAATCTATGTATTTTAACAAGGAAATAAGATGGGTAGACGTATTTTTATTGTTTGTCTTTCTAAAATGTCTTCTTGCACTCATAGAAAAAAATACATAAAAGTATTACTTAATAGTTGTATTCATACTAGTACATGAACCATTTTTAAAATTTTAACCAAAAGCAGAAAAATAATAAGTAATTAATAAAAAAAAATACTGCTGTACAAGAGCAAACAGTAAATACTTTTAAAATGTACTGAATGAAAGTAAACTCACCCAACATCATGTCAATACATTTTGCCCTCTCTTCAGAGTTTAGTAAAGTTAAATTTTGTGTGGTGATGTCCAATAGAATTCTAACAGGATCAGCACTTTGTAGAGTTGTATCTGTGAAGAAAATTATAATTTAACAACTGATTCTTTTCAGCATCACTATTTAAAACGGAAATAAATATTTAAATAAGACTTAAGTAAGAATTTTCAGCTGCTAATTTGAATAACCTGTATGATACGTATGTAGCTTATTATGCTACATACAAAATGTGTTAAAATTCCTATCTAAAGTGGCCAGGGTGGACTAATAGATTTTTTTTTCTTATGGCATATGCCATAAACGATCAGACAGATCACCTGACGGTAAGTAATTGGCATCGCCCATGGACACCTGGAACACCAGACATGTTACAAGTGCCTTACCGGTCTTTTGGGGATTAGGAGTTTGAGGATTGTTGGGGAATCGGGGATTGGGGAGCTGGGCCTCCGGTAACCTTACTCACACGACGAAACACAAAGCAAGCATTGCTTCACGTTCGGTTTTATGTGAAGCCTTGGCATTACTCCGGTCGAGCCGGCCCATTCGTGCCTAAGCATGGCTCTCCCACACTTAAAAATTTTACGATGATAGTTTTATGTAGATTTATGTAGATATTTTAATGATGCTGAGCATTATTAAATACTTTACAATCGTAGGAAAACAAGACTAATACTAAATAAATGAGTACTCACTTGGAATATTAGCCTTCTTTGTAGCAATATCCATGATCAGACTGATGCACCATGGAGCTATAAACGGTGCCCATGACTGCCCCAAGTTGCACAACTCCGGCCCAATGATGCTCACACTCTCCAAGGCACCGTTTGCAGCAAGATCAGCCTTAGATAAAGAGCATATGAAGTTAATAATAAATAATATTGATTTTAAATTACAATAAGTGTGGTTATAGGTTATTACTATCAGATAAGTTAATATGTTATATTCTCATTTAGATAGTTAGTGTTACATAGGTAATTAAACTGTTAATTATAATTGCTATCAATTTGGCATCCACATTAGTTCTTTAACTCCAAATTTGAGTTAAGCTATAGGAGTAGACATGTTCTGGTATGGCAAACTATAGAAATCTACGAATCCTACGCCTAATACGGTATCATACGTCAATTCATAAATTTTGCACAAACAGCCACAATAAACCTAACCACACTGTAAACTCTGTAAACTATACCGCAACTCTACCGGTATCATGTTGTTTCAGGTTATGCAAGGTTACCTCGTAATCCGTCTGACTGATAGAAACGGTGACCGCATCGTGGAAGACCATAGCGAAGTATTCCAACACAGCATCTCGAGCCGCTGGGAAGTTCTTGAGTAAATTAAGCCCAGTTCTCGTCAACTCTGGTGCGTTCTGTGCGTTTCTCCTTGAAACGCCATAAATGAAATTATTTAAGTCGACGGACAAAGCCGTCGACTTACTTTGCGGGTTCATCATAAGTTTTAATAATCGTAATGTTGATAAAATAAAAATAAACAATTTCCAAGCCCAACGCACGAAGTCGCAACAGATGACAAAAAAATTCTAATAAATGACAGTGACGTTGTCATAAAAGTTGTGACATTCTGTTTATTTATTTTTTTGTTCGAAACCGTGTCTTTTTGTACTGTTCAATTAGCCAAATTACAAAAAATTATTACTGGATCAATCAATTTTATGAAAATTAAATTAGATAGAACTACTACCAGTTTTATTTTTTCTTTTTAAATGGTTTTGAAGCCTGCTATGTAACCTTGCACCCATTTGGCACTCCTTCGATGAAAGTAGTCTATGATGAATTGATGATGAATGTGTCCATGATTTTCTTTAGCTGAGGTGAAAACGGAACACTGAAAAAGGTCTACTTTAATCATTGCTCTTAGGTATAATTAAATGTATTTTTAAATTACTTAACAGCCAACCAACCAACTGTGCAGAACTGCAGATGAGGGAGTTGAAAAGTGCCTAATCAATTTCATATACCTACATAAAATGCTTAGCAGGTCTGCAGCACATTTTATCATAACGTAAAAAAGTATAAGTAACAAATAAAATGTTACGCTTTGTCTGATCAATGTTATTGTGTTTTCGATCGATCGGTTTGAAATGACGTCTGACTTGAAAGAACCGTGTCGTACACCCATTTACTCAGACCCTATAATCATCTTATAAACCGGAAAAATCTTACTTACTTACTATGTTTAATAACATAAATTAAAAAAGATAATCGGTACCTCAATAACCACATCACATTATAAAAAAATACATAATGGATAAATACAATTTATTTTTAGAGAGAGCAAGCAAATACCTATACACAGATACTTTATAAAATATTAGAATACCAACTTTACCAATTTCTTTTACCTAATGCTCAAATACGCAAATACTCCCTGCTCGACAGTCGCGCATGCGACCACTCGCCTTACGGGCTGGTATAGTGTAGGTTGGTACAGATACATATTTTATTTAAGCACGTACTTTATTAGCTGAATTATAAAACAAATTCTTAATAAAATATTTAAAAAAACTAGGTATATCACAACAATATTATTATTTAATTTTGCTATGGATATTTTACTAAACCAAGTCTCCTATTGTATTTTCCTGTTCGTCTGTCGGCTGTCCGAGTCTGCATGTGACGGCGATGCTCCACGTTTTCAAAACACGTGTTAGGTAGTAGGTACAGACACGCAGCAATCTGGCTGAATCGGGAATAGTAGTACAGAACATAAACCTCATTGGTAAAACGCAGGCACGACTATCGAGTATGGAGATGGGACTTTTACTTCAATAACCGAGTCAAAGAAAATAAATATGTAGGTACCTACCTGTTGTGTTTTTCCAAAATTCTCAGTTAAGGCACGGAAGCTGAGTGTAGGGACCACTTTTTAATAACTAAGGTTTAAGGAGTGATGATATTTTATCCTGAAGATTAAGGTTTTATTCTGATAACGTTACACTTGGTGGGTCATATATCTAAGTCAGGGCTGTCCAAACAAAGGCCCGCGGGCCGCATGCGGCCCGCTGCTTATTTTAACCTTACCTTGTTTTATAGTTTTAATGATTATGACTTCCATGTAAAAGTTTTGCACGCCCGAATTGTGGGCAGAATAAGAGGGACTATAATCATAATGTGACCACTGTACACCTTGTTCAGGCAAATAAATGATTTTGATTTGATTTTTAATGTGGCCCGCGACGCACATTTTAATCTCAACATCTTCATCTTATGTGCAACAACCAACAACAATAATAAAATTCAGTGCATGATTTGTATGCAAGTTTAATCTGTGAGTAAAGAATATAATGTTAAACATCATCACACAACTGAAAATATGTTTCTGGCTCTCCAGCTTTTGTAAGAAATTTAATTGGGCCGCGAGGGTAGGTATATAGTTTGGACAGCCCTGATAAGTCATAGAAATATAACTTCTTTATAATATCTATGATCTAAGTAAGTAGGTACTGTTTTGTACATTTAATATAACACCTGGTATTCATAAAAAGCTTAGTAAAACCAAAGGCTGACAAGTAACAGCTGCTCATTGCTAGAGTGCTCGCAAGCGCGGCTTCCGGGGTCGAGGTCACTGTTTCGATCCCCGAGCGCCAGAGAACCCGTCAAGAAAAATAACTTTTGTTGTCTAGCATTATTTTTGGCAATGAACCCATCTTTATTTCATACGTCTCACAATATAACGCCATGCATTTTATCCTGCGAAGGGATAGGCAGAGTTGGACACAAGTTTTTTTTTATGTTAATTAATAATAATCAATAATCATTTTAATTATCTTACTTAAGTTGCTTATATAATAAAAATAAACGACTATACCTAAGCAATATTAGCAGTTCTAATAGTTTCGACATTATTTCAGTAGCTTGACGATGTTCGCTAAATAACGTAATTAAAAATGGTCGATAAAATGCCAAGCTGCATTGTGACTATTAAATAACTACGCCGGCTATGTTTTGTTGTGTGACGTCTATCATGTACCTACATCGCATCATAGGAAGGGGGATGTAGTGTGGGGTCAGGAAAGAAATCAATAAATTGAGTGCGCACGCGATCCGCGCAAGCCCGCCCCACTACGCTACGATAGAAACAAGCGGATAAAATATAACCATCATATTATAGCTCACAATATTATAGCAAATCTATTTAAAAAAAATAGGACCCATATAGCATCACTGTGGCATCGAAAAAAATATGTTTAGTTAAAAATATTACCGGAAAGCGAATAATTATCATTACAATCATTTATTATTAGTCGAGATTTTAGTATTTTTTATAGTTTATTAAAGTCAAAACCATAGCAATATCACTCATATATCATACCATATTATAGCAGAATTACTACGCGCAAACAAAATAGGTATTAATAAATAATTAAGTGTTGTCAAAATTAAATAATTTTGTATCTAAATGACGCGTGCAAAGTTCGAAAAGCGTGGATGTGGAAACAACTCATTCGCAATAAACACAGTAGCATTCGGCTAGATACATTAAATTATAAAAAATGTGAACAATCATTAAAATAAAACAATGGCACATTAAAAGATATACCCATTCACAAATAGATTGGTTGTCTTTATTAGGTACAGATATACAGATATTATTAAAGAGGTAGATACTTTTATCTTAGACTTCGTATGAACCGTATGACGCAGCGTGTCGCGCAAATAAGAACTATTAATTTATTTTTTATAAATTTTATTTGCTTTAGCCTTTACTTGTCATTAAATTTTATTACACATTTTTTATTCTTTAAAAATCATATTAATGATTAATTAATAAATAAGAATATCAAAATTACTCATTATAAATTAGTCGAAACGAAAATACCTACCTACTCCACTTATATTTTTTTACGAATTTAAAATGCATGCTAGTGCATAACAACGTTTCGTTGTTACTGCAGATATAAACTATATGTACCTATATAGCTATCTGTATACTACAAAATGTATGTAAAAACGTAAGTTCGTAACAAAATGCATTCAACGTCAGCGTCCTTCAAATTCGTCTACCCCCTCGCACCGCAATGTAGGTACGATGATAGAGACCGCGGAAAGCATGAATTAATATTCAAAACGTTTAGATGCGTACTTTTAAAAAGTACCTTTCATATAAGTTCCAGAGTTCGTATAGAATGCAAAGAACAAAAAGTCCTTAATTATACCTCTGTAGTAAGAGAAGTAACTAATTATTCCAACATTGAACATCTGGACATCTTTGAACGTAATACAACTATTTGTATGTGTAGTTGCGTTTGCGTTACTAGTTAATACGTTTACCGCGTCTACGCTTTGTGGTTGATTTACTTACTTATGTTGAATAAGTAGTTATGTTATGTTCAACATTTACCTAGGTAGTTAACTTGTCTACAAAGAACTGCGTTCTGTGAGGGCTATCATAGGCAGTAAGCGTTTATTACCTACTACCAGCACTGTAAATCATACTCGATTAACCTTTTACGTAGATCATTCTTGAAATAATATGCTTAACAGTATCAGCTAATTAAAAAAAAGATACCTACACTACGGTATATTTTAGTTAAGTTTATGCCGTGTACAGGGTGAGTGGGGTGTTAGAAAAGGAATTCTTGGCATAAAAGCAATTTGCGCGTGAACAGGGTGGCGCGTTGGTGATGCAGAGTCAGGGCGGGCGCCGGTGGCGACCAAACGCGCCCCTCGCGATACGACGCAGGCGCGCGCCGCTAACCGACGCTCAGTTAGTTGGATCGATAAGATAAACGCGCAACCCCGGTCTACGAGTTAAATCAATATAATTTCTATCGATTTTTGCAGCCGCAGCCGCCGCACACCAGAGTCGAGGGTCGCAAGCGGTGGGTGCGCGCATTGTGTTGTTTAAAAGTACAAAGATTATTTTTAAATTCTGTGATAATGTTTGTGAATATTCTGTAATGTGTGTGAACTAGTTTAAAGTTATTGTCGATTGTTGGTGGTTTACGGTAAATATTTTTTTTTACTCTAAAGGTCAATGAACTTCATGTTAAAAATCCAAAAGTATCTAAAAAACTAAAAAATAGTTGTCCTGTAATCCTACATTTGTATATTTAATTTTTAGTTATTTTTAAACTAAACAGTCATAGCGAAAAATAATAAGGAATACAAAAAAGTATTTTGCTCGAGGTCATTTCTGACATTTTGCCGTGCCGCGCTACCGGTGGATAGGAAGAAAACTTGATGAAAACAAACACACTACATTGTCCTTTTAGTTTGTTATTGTTTTGATTTTGACAAATTTGTTATTTCATAGAATTTACAATATCATAAATATTTAAATATCAATTTATGTGTTTTGTACAGAAGCTTTTAATGGAAGCTTTACTAAGAAATCAATTAAAGGTGCGTGGGTGACTAACCTTGACAAAGCTTCCTTTTTCAATGCCCAATGAAACTTGAAGATATGCTAATTTTCAATATTTCAAACTGGAAAAAAAATGTAAACAGACGTGCGTGCCGGCATTTTTATAAACTTGAACCTAACATACGATTAAAAATGGGTAATATTTGCTACAGGTGGTGTGAAATGTAGATAAATGAAACAAAAATGACGTCCACGGACACATACCAGTTGAAATGGCATTCGCACAGTTCACATCTGAACGGCTCCGTAGCGGCTTTGCTTCGCTCGGAGCGGTTCACGGATGTGGTACTGTGTACCCTGGACGGGTCGCAGATACCGGCTCACAAGTTTATCCTGAGCTCGTGTAGCGTGTATCTGAGCAACTTGTTTGAAGGCCAGCGGTCGGTGACGCGCATGGGCGGGATGCTCTACGTCGTCTTGCCTTCGGAAATATCTACGAAAGCTCTGAAGATCCTCGTGGAGTACATGTACAAAGGTCAGCTACTTTTAATTACTAACATTTTTCAAGTCCTAAAACTTGGAATACTGAATGAATTAAGTTTAAAGTGCTCTATCATAAAATTATTCAATTAAAGTTTGTAATTTGTTATAGATACTTAATTATATACTTTCCATTGATATTATTATTTTGTACTTTCATGTCTTTCGGGTCTGGGTGTCATATTGTTTATGTCAACTTGTATGTTTGTAAACGCACCCACAACACAGGATAAAATCCTAGTGTGACCCAATGTTTTATTTTTAAAAACAATGTAAAATCTAGCTTGTTGTTTCCTGGCGCGTTTTTTACTGGCTATACATTATTAGTCTCATTTAAAACTATTCCACATTCATGTTGTTTCTGCCTGAACTCTTATATTGAGCAGGAACTCATTTAGTCTGAAGGTATTTAAACAGAATATAATATGGTCAAAATAATATTCCTACTGCATGCATAACTCAAGTGACAAGGTCAGCACAATCCAGCATTTATAAACAGCAAATACCAATATTATGAACAACTTATTCATAAGTATGTAGAGAGTCATATTTGATAAAACTGAAGAATTTGTTTATTAGACCTATGCTGATATTTAGATTATTTAGTATGAGGTGCCAGTCTGGGTAACAGTGGGCTAACTTGAAGTACTCTAAGTGAACATTTTGATACTTTGTCTGATGTTATAAAAGCTCTCATCATCTTCATCCAGATCTTATAGTTGAATTAGCCATTTTTGGACCTAGGAACAAAATATGCAGAAGTTTTTAAACAATTATTTAAATTAACATGTACAAACAATCATATTGTCTGTACGGTCTGTTTCAATATTTATTTTTCTCATTTATGCAGAATGTATGTATTTTTAATATTGTATAGTACTGACACCATATTAATTAATTTATTCCAAATCATAAATGTGAGGACTTGTTATTGGCTCATTGTTACCTACACCTATTGTTATTTTTATCCATTTTTATAAGCTATAAGTCCTCCATGAATTATAAATAAATAAATAAATAAAATATTTTTTCAGGTGAAACAACAGTGTCAAACGAAGTTTTAGACACTGTGTTAAAAGCAGGAGAAGTACTAAAGATCAGAGGGCTTTGGAGACAGACTGATGATGGCAGTTCTGAAACTCCTGAGAAGGCAACTACTCAGACTATCACTGCCACTAGTCTCGCCAAACCTGCTTTGGCAAAGAAACCTGATGAGATACCTATACAACCTAAGATAGCTGTTAAGAAAGATGATAAGTTACTTAAAGCCTTCAACCCTGGACAACCTGGTGCTAGGTAGGTGGAGACACTGGTTTTTTAATTTTTCTATGGAAGTTTTAATTCTTAATTTATTTACATGCCAATGATAGAGCATGTTTTAAATGAATTTCAAGGTGACTTTCAGTTTTAATTGTATGTATGTATTGTTTTTTTGTGCGATTGTCTCATGATTGGCTTAACCAATTTCGATGCTGTTTTTAGAAAAGTGTTTGTTGTTACACTTAGGAGAGGGTTTTAGTTTAATATTAAACCAGCTCCTAGAAAATAGGAGGGTGAAGTCGATTTTCTTAAACATAGGTAGTTTTTAAAAGAATAATTTAATTTAGTGATTATGTCACACCCCTTTCTGTGATATGTATAAGTAATCTATACATATAATAAAATCGCAGAAAAGTCAAAACTGTACACTGAATATTTTTTAATAGAATACTAGTGACATGATCTGCAATTGATACCTAAGGCAAGAATATGGTTTTAGAATTTTTGTCTGTTTGTCTGTATGTATGTCCAGGATGACCTCAAAAAATACTGCATGGATTTACTTTAAAATTTAGCATGAATATTACTAACAAGTCAGGTCAATACATAGGCTACATATTATCACGCTATCATCTATGGGGGAGGAGCTCTATACTAGGTACTGAATCAATTCTGACGATATTTGTTACCGTAGAGGCTTAGGATATCCTTTGATAAAGACTAATTCAAAAGCCTAAATTCTGCCAGAAGTCATTATTATATGCTCATGAAGTTGCAGTCATTGATACATTGCATCATGCCTTTTTCCCTAAAGGTGAAATGAAATGTTAACTTTCTAACTTAATACCATACCAGACCCCACACATTCAATGAGGAGTTTACAATAAAGTATCTTAATACTACTTTTACTGTTTTGCTAGACTTAACCTATGAATTACCCAAGCTTCAGTGACACTTTCATAATTGAAGAAATTAATTCTACTTTCAGACCAATGTTCATTGGGCCTCCAAAGCTAGTATTTATAAAGACAAGTGAAGGTGGTGCGCAAGCAGCAATTAGGCCGGGAGCTCCTAAGGGGCAAACAATCTTAGTTGCTCCAGCGCCTACTGCTGACGCAGTCGCAGTCGCAACCGCTACAACTACTGCAACTCCGGCCACAACCACCGTCACAGTAGCCACCACGACTGCCAGTGAGGAATCGTCTGACGAACCATTGACGCCTAGAATCTTGAGAAGACATACGGAGAGGAAATACGGAAAGAGGCAAAAGACTGAAGTTAAATCTGATGATGACGTGAAAGATGGAGAGGAAACACAGGATTCTGAATCATCAAGTGAGTATTTATGACGTATTTAATAGTAATTATGAATGTATTATGATTTATTTTTCGTCCTATCTCTATGAAGAGTGTTTGTCATCATTATATTAGGGTTGTGATATGCTACCAAAGACCAAACCATGTAGGTAGGGTACTTGCTCAACAGCTCAATTTTTGTAAAACAAAATTGAGTTCCCGACTCAGTCAGTAGTTGCGAGGACCCGACCAACTGTAGCGAAAGTTAAAACTGTTATTTTCTTTCTAAAGAAAAGTCAGGTCAAAACTTGGAAAGCGAAGTACAAATAAAAGATGAGCCGGAATGGGACGCCAGCAGTATTGAAGAGGAGGAGAGGTCTATCGCTGAAATGTTCCAAGCTGAAATGAGTGTTAAGAGCGAGCCTACTGACGAAGTCGACATTGAAGAGGAAAGCTTGGTAAGTTTAGTAGAAAGTACTTTTTTTATTACAGATAAGTACAGCGATTATGTTGTACTTATACTGAATTAAGAATTCAGGAATTGCCAGTTTGCCCTCTTATTATATGGCCCTGTTGGCTTCGCCGTAGTCGGCAAAAAGAGGCTTTGTAATCCAGCAGTAAGCTCTATATATTTGGTGGTTGTCGCCCGCAGATGTACTCCCCGCTGGCGTGCGAGCTGTGCGCGGAGGTGTTCACGGTGCCGGCCGCGTGGGTGCGCCACGTGCAGGCGCACGCGCGCTCCGACACCACGCACGCGCGCAAGCGGAAGCTGCGCTCCGCGGTATGGACACACGCCTTACTTCATTCAATGCTCACCACCACCACCTTCAAATCTATTATTTCATCAACTTATTAGTATTCTTTCAGTCTTTATAATTTATATAACAACTTTTTTTATCTTGTGCTTAATCTATATGTATATGCATCTATAAGTATTAGGCATAGACCAAAGAGTGTTGATATATCATATATTATTATGTATACTGCCTAGGACTGCCTCGTTAGCCGATTGGTCGCAAGTGCGACTGCCAGGCTTCGATTCCTGGGTCAGGCAAAGTATTACTGGGTTTAAACGGAGCACGGAGTCTGGAAATGTGCCCGGTATATGGCAATAGGCTCACCCCCTATTACATGGGACTCATAACCAGAGATGTGATTTATTTGAAATACTTCTATTTTAAATGCAAATAGAAAATGCAAAATACCTATTTTGTATTATATTTAAATACCTTTCAGTGAAAAGTATTTTGTATTTTATTTGAAATGCCTTTCGAGATGCATTTTGTATTTTTAATATTCATTTCAAAATGCAAAATACTTTGTGATTAAGTTTAGCTAACATTACCATTCAAACAAAACAAAACACTTGTATTGCCGAATTCGACCGATAGAGGCGCCTGCTAACCATGCACGACTTCGATCAACAATAGCAACTAGATAAAGGGTTACGTACAAAATCAAGCTCCAGTTCTATCCGTGTGAATAATAATAGTAAAAAAATAACAAACAGAGAAAAATGTTTTAAAATAGTTTTAAGTTCAACCTAATAACAACCATGGCACCTAATAATAAAGTCATAAATCGTCAAAATATTATCTAATACTTATGACCATTCGTCACATAGACAAGAAAAGTATTTTCTTACTCCTGTCATGTAGAAATTAAAAGACATAAGTCATACACTATCTAGTTTGAATTCCACCTTAAACTTAAACAAATAAAGATAATTTTTCCATTATTGTCTTGCGATCTATATCGTTTTGTTTTGTTTCGTTTAATTCTTCAAATTTCGAATTTCGCTACAGGAGGTATGTATGGAGTCGCGTTGAACACTAAAATAATTTTATAATATGAAAATTAAGATTTCGGGATCTTAGTATACATCACTTATTTTTATTAGCGGTACGGTTTTGTGTATGATAATTATCTTTATTTACTTTGTCATTAAAAGTCTAAGCCTAGTCAAAATCATTTATTTCAGTTAGACCAGGAAGGCACTTATGAACGTCAACAATTTAAAAGTGAATCTATTTGCTCATTCCAAGGTGTAGATTCCTATGGAGAAGAACGAGCAAGAAACTCCCTAGGTTAGGTACTCTTTTCCGATCAGGTTATAATACAATTTTATTTTACAATACAAATCGATTCCATGCATCCACTGTTCTGTTTAAACAAATGTTTGTGCGCGTGTTGGCGATGCTTGGCCAAGGGATCGCCAACACACGCACAAACATTGGTGGCGTTGGTTTATAATTGGTAATTTTGTCTAATTTGATATTATTTACTCGTTTAAAAGCTTAAAATATAACTTATACTTTATGTACTTATCGAGAGTAAGACACTCCGGCCGTTATACTGCTTTTTCGGTTATTATTTTTGCAACTTGCAATTACGCGCTGCAGCATCATGAGACGTGAGTACGTTGGCCGTGTTTGGAGCATACTAAACAAAATAAGAGCTCACTTCTCAAGTGAGCTCTTATTTGTCGAGACGATTTTTTTGCGCCGACCCTATATCTAGTTGTTATTGTTGATCGAAGATGCACGACATCTTTTTCTTCTTTGGTCAGAGTGCGCGCGCGCGCCTTATGTCAAGTAATGTCTGACAAGTGTCAATTTGAAGGTCTGACAAGACCTCACAGAAGAAAAATGAATGATGATGTATTCGAACAACTGGTATTGTTAAAAAGCGTAATCAATAAAAAATGATATTTATTTTTATCACTTTTTAACAATACCAGTCCAGTTCCAGTTGTTATTCATTTTAATAAGAAAAGTGTAATCATATGTAATGTGTTATTAGACGTTTGTTATTCGGCTCGGCATTGTGTGTTTCTATTGCTCATGTATGATAAATAAATATGTACCTATAATAAATAAAAATATGTATCTGTAATTTCGTCAGGGGGTATTTTATTTTGAAAAAGTATTTTGAAAATACCTATTTTGCATTTAGAATTTGAAATACGAAACGCAAAACTATTTGGTATTTTGCATTTGAAATAGTAAATCTGAAAAGTATTTTGCATTTTGTATTTAAATGCTTTTTTAAAACCATTTTGTACATCTCTGCTCATAACATTAATAGTGAAAAGTGTTACTTCTGTGTACACCTCTACCTACCCCTTCGGGTATAAAGGGCGTGATGTTATTTTATGTATACTCTTTTATACTTCAGAGTGACGACACGGAAGAAACAATGGCCCTCCTTCGTTGCGACCTCTGTCAGAAACATTTCCCGAACCCTGCCGAGTGGGTGCGACACATACAGAGCACACACACTGAATCAGGTGAGTTCTAGAACATTCCTACTTGATCTTAATACTTATAAAATATGAGGAGATTGTTAATAAAATAACACTTGAAATGTATGCTCGCAAGTTCATTAATATTTTTAGGTATCGGTAAGAGATTATTTAAATGGCATTTTTGTTAGTAGGGCATAATAATAGAAAGATTATAATATAGATGGTAAAATAATTTTATATTGATAGTTTTTTTTTATTCTAATATAAAGCATAGGCACTCGAACTCGTAGATAATATATGTTTAATAATTAAATTAACCTTTGTTTTATAATATATGTTTAAAACTCCTTAAGCTCTATTTCTATAAGTAGTTCAATTAATAAACTTGCGTGTGTAACTGTGTAATGGGTATGAAACTATTTAAGCAGACTTGTAAAAAGGTTTGTAAAAAATAGGATCAGTAATATTGGTTTTATTTTGCAACATGAAACAGTTCTTGTTTTAATTTCCAACAGATTAATTAATTTTAATCAGGTACCTCCTATGACATGCCAAGTAATTATAGCATTTTAAAATAAATTTACTTAACAATATTAAGATTAGTGTCATTTAAAATTAAAGCTGCCTAGTAGTGTCTGCAGCAAGTAAGAAGTTTGGGTTCAATTCCCGAATTTATACCCGTGTTAACTAGATAGAAATGTTGCAGTTGCATATCTGCGCAATCCTTTAATAACTAAAAGAATGATGTTAAGCTGTAAACTTATAATTAACAACATTGTTTAATAATACAACAAATAACTTAATAAAGCAACAACCTGTAGAGTTAACTATCTGTAGTTAGAAATTGTATTTGCAAATAAAAATGAGGTGCCATACGGTTACAGTCGCTATTTGAGTATCGACTATGTGTTTATTTTTCCTTTGCTTCCCCAAAACTTACAAACCATGGTATCTTTAGGAACCATAATTCCCAAATGTAAATTCTAGCCGAAATTTGTTTTATGTAATAGGCTAATTCTCGACAAACGAACATCCTGTCGCCTTTAGATTTTTATTTATTTTTATGATTTTATTTTTTTACTTCTGCTGAACCCTTACACTGTAGATACAGGCGGACTGCACTTAGGCTTAAAGCAACACACAATAAAGACGAAAGATACGGCTGAAGGCACTCTTTGCTTTGTACAATATTTTTACATTACATCAATGCATGCAATGACATCGTCATATTGTCATGTAGTTAAGCCAGTAGTCAAGATGCAGTCCGTCTGTCTACACAACTAACCTATGCTTACAATACACTATTTCTTACACTAACCCCGCTACTCATGATAATCACTTCAGTTATAATTTGTAATTAAAATGTAATTGGAATGCTTTGTTTGCTTATAATTTTGCTGAACTCATTTATTTGCCATGACCAAACAAAGCGTTGCATATTGTGTGATTGTCTGCCTGACTGAACCCTGTTCTAAATGTTCGTTCGATGTCGATTGTCTAGAATTGGCCATATCAAACAACAGTGCCCCACCAAAACGTCACAATCGTTTCACAGAGGGCGCGCAAAACAAGAGTTGCACGCAATGCAAGAAAACATTCCCGTCGCACGCATCGATGCTCATACATATGCGAACGCACACAGGTAAGTACCGATTAGTCTTTAATTGGCTAAACAAAAATAAATCCTTTTTAAAATCATTATCTGTAATTAGCTCCAAATTCAGAATATGAATCTTCAAAACCGAATAAATGTGGAATAAGCGATGCAGTGTGCAATTCGAAACATTCTCATATTAAAGAAATCAATTCAATTAAAACATTGTTGGAAATAAGACTGTTGAGTATTATTTGATGCATCAGACATAAATAAACAGCAATACACCGCATCTAAATGTCGAAAAAGATCTGCATTTGTGCCATTTTTTAAACTTTATCCTAACATTTACAAATACTAGTCTAAAGCGAAGCCGCCCTATATTAGATTAATTAATCATCTTTACTATTATCAAATGGAATTTTCTTACATAATTCACGTCACGCACAACATCGCGCCTTTCATTTAGGCAGTATTGAACATGTACCCACATTTTGTCAGTTATGTTATTTCGCCCGCTGTAACGATGCCTTTTGGAAAGCTGTGTTAAGACTTTCCTAATTGAAAATACCTGAGGCCCTTAGTACGAGTTTGTTTTACGGTTAAAGTAATCGAAACGAGTACGCGTTCGGCGCTCAGAGGGCCAAGCACGAATAACTATCGCATTCGTAACGTAATAGTATCGAGCGCGTTCGGCGCTCTGATTGGCCGGCTTAAGTGAACTAACCAATCAGAACGCTTAACTCGCTCGATACTGTTACGATACGAATGCGATAGTTATTCGTGCTTGGCACTCTTATAGGCTGGCGCCAATAAACCAGCCAATCAGAGCGCCGTACGTGTAAATAAAATAAACTCGTACTTATGCCTCAGAACAAACTTCACCCATCCCTAGAAGTCACACTTACAATCATACCAGTCCACTACGAATCATAATTAGCACTATAACTTTTAAAAATAATTTCTCATTTTACAGGTGAACGTCCATTTGTGTGTGGACTCTGCAACAAAGGTTTCAACGTGAAGTCCAACTTGTTACGACACTTGCGCACATTACACGACCAGCTGATCAGTCCGAGCGGCGTGGAAGATGCTGAGGAGGAGGAAGTAACACCGGGCCCTTCCGAGGTCAAGCGCGAGTCCTGAGGACGTGGAGGGGGGGCAGGTAAGACAAAAGAGAAGTAGATTGAGTAACTTCGTAGGAGATTACTATATAGAATATTCGATAACAAAATCAATTGAATGTGTGAATACCACAAAAAATTAAGAGTATTTATTGACCTGATTTTTGTTGTGTATTATAGGTAGAGGGCGCGGGCGTCGTGCTTATGGAGCAACGAGCGACGCGAACCGCCGCGCTGCTGCTGAAAAGAAAAGGCAGACAGACAACGCATCACCGTCTAATGTACCGCGCAAGCAGAGCTACTCGCTCTTCTTGAAGCAACGAGCGGTACTATTCTCTGCCAAAAAGTGGAAACAGTGAAACTTGGCATGGCGACTTGCTACACTTTCATTCATTATATTGTCATGTTTCTTTAAACTCATTTTGAGTTTCAAGTTACAAGTAGCAATGTCGCCAGCCATTTGTTCATTCACTTTTACACCTGCCCACCCTCCTCCAAAATTACGGTTAATTTATATTTAAGTATTTAATATTGAGTGATTTATTTTTTGTAATCCCCTAGTTCATTATATTTTAAGTACCTCGACGTCTAGTCACATGATATATTATAAGACTTAAATATTGGCTAGCAATAAGTGATCACCAAATAATATAATACGCCTGAGATGTCAAGTGTAAGTGAGTTGAGTCAAGCAAGTTTTAAGTTTGAAGTGTATTACTAAATTAACAGTGGGCATTTTTGTTTTACTGATACACCTTGTAAAATAATATAATGTGTCTGAATGTTAATATGATTACTACTGAATTACTGATCTTTTAGTTTGTATTGGACATGGTTTAGCAGGCACCAAAACGTTTTTGATGAACCATCTTATTTGATCTTATACTGAAACATAAATAAAGACAGCAATCATTTTGTAATTGTACAGTAACCCTAGTCATTATGTAAAGCTGAGTGAATAAAAAACTTTTAATAAAAAAACATCACTCATCTAAGTGTTTCAGTGGTGCACGCTAACTCCATAAGTCTGTTAGTTTTAAATGCATGTAACCATTCCAGTATCTTGCCATTTTATATGTGTAACACTAGTGGGAATAATATTATTTGTTTAGATGTAAGAATATTTTTAATATATATAAAATATTTGAGTATTTAAAAACTGCGAAGCTTTAAGTTCAGCATTCCATTGTGTTAGAAGTGATTTATTTATTTTGGACGTGTATCCATAGACTAATAGTGTTTTACTTTTATTTCATGGTAATAGAATACTCATGTGCAACATGATGCTTTTTTTTGTAATTTGATAATGTGGAAAATAAAGTGATTTATGTCAATTTACTTGGTTTTACTCTACAAATAATTTTATTCTTTAAATAGGTTATATACCTACATTGTCATTAACATACAAATAAAATATACACATAACATCACGCCTTATATCCCCGAAGGGGTAGGCAGAGTTGCACATTACGGCCCTTAATGCAACTGTACAATGTAAACCTGCTCTTCACTATTTATGTTATGAGTCCCATGTAATAGGGACCGAAGACCACTTGCCCGGCAGTGGCACTTGCGCCCACTCGGCCAGTAAATATGATTAAATATACATAATAGATATTTACACAGCTTAAAATTTAACTAAAATTAAACCTTTGAATAATAAGAAATTAACCAGCCCTCTGGTCACGTGCAGAGTCGATCAGCCTACATTATAGATGGCTCAAAACAGTAGTTACCCAATAGATTTTAATATTTACGCCGTTTGAGCTCTGCCCCGGAAGCGGACGCACCAACGCATGCAGCGGTATTGAGAAGATGTGATGGCGCAAGGACATCTACACACATCGCGTCCCACACCAAAGGCCTACCCATCTTCCAAGGCAGCAACGACATACAATCTCGCCGTCATCACGTACCAAACCATTAGGTTCTAATATAGCTGGTAAGCTGGTTGACACAAAAGCACAACGAATGATGTCGTTGGTGCTGTCATGGCGAGTTATGCGGCCTATTCTTCTGCAGCAAGAAAGATCCTGCTTCCCACTCTCCCACAGCCAATAAGCGAGCTCGCTCTGCAGTATTAGAACACGAGTTGATTAAAGACTCACGAATAACACTGCAGATCGGCACGTTCCACTTTCTCTAAGATAAAACCTTTTCACCCGGACAGGTAAATCCGTTGATTCGTAAGCAGGCAAGCCATTTTACAAGCTTCCATTGCATCAGTCAAACACGGCACCTCAAAACTAGTCAGTGATGAAGAAAGAACTTTCCTGACTAATTCCGAGGTACTGTGGACCGATGAAAGAAAAGCTAGGACCAAACTATTAAACTACTAATTGAAATTTTGCGGACGCCGAGCCCTTCCATTCGCAATGGGTAGAGTACTTGTTGCCAAGCTCGGTCATCCAAAGCTATGTATGGATGATAAATGTGTCTGATAATTTTGTCAACATTTTCTAAAATATGTGAATTTGTCTATAGATGTGACGCTGGGAGAATGTAAGTTTTTGGTCCTTAACAACAATACTTAACCAGAGTGAAAGCAGAATGTGTGTTGATTGATTTGGGTAATCTATCCGAAATATCATTGAAGTTCTGTATTTTGTCCTCGGTGAATTTCGGAAAACATTCGTCGATTATTGGTGAACCTAGGAGGTGAAGTGAGTACTTATCAGTAATTTTGATATTTGGAGCATTTTGATAAATTTTGATCATGGACAATAGAACTTAGTTTTTCTTTTAATGTGGTCAAATCTTGTATACAAATTATACCAGAGTTTAAGACAAATGTATTTATTAGTATGTACTTACAAAAAATATATCTATCACAAGTTTCAGCAATACACACAGTGTACGAAATTATAGTATTGAGAAATTGGTAATGAAACATGATGTTGGAAAAAACGTGGAAATGTATACCAAGTGACACATAATTATAATTAAACTAGTTCAACTATCTTCTTCCTCAATCTTGGGTGCTAGGTAATAGCGAATGTGACCAATGTCTGGAATGCGGTACTCGACGACAAGTGGTACGTCAGCCGACATTGAAAGTTGTACCTGAAATGAACAAAATATTCAGTTTATGAATATATTTCCTTGACTTACATAATTATTAAAATAATCTTGTACACATAATAAAATCGTAGAAAAGTCAAAACTGTACATTTAATAATTTTAAAAAGAATACTTCGGGCGTGATCAACAATCGATACTGAAGCCTAAAATAATATAGTTTTTATAATTTTTGTCTTTTTATCTGTATGTATGTCCGGGATGATCTCAAAAAGTTCTGCATGAATTTACTTCAAATTTTGTATGATTATTACTAACAGGTTGGGTCAACATATAGGCTACACATTATAACGCTATCACCTACGCGATAAGCGCAGTAAATCACTATTCCACGCGAACGTAGTCGCGGGCACAGCTAGTTAATAATAGAGATGTATCTATTTCTTTCAGCTAATGATATTTACCTGCGGACTGAGTGATGTGGCTTTAGTGAAGTAATTGAGGTACTGGCAGGCGAATGTGAGAGTGACTGGCTCCTCCATCTCAATAACTACTGCCTCCTCCTCCTTGTCGATTGACGCTGTCTGCGCTAGTTTGATGTTAGCTGAGCCAATGTCGCCGGTGGCTGAGAATTTGACTCCTGTGAAAATAAAACAAAGTTACCAAAATAGTAAACAATTGAAAACAGAGTAAAGTTTAGAGTTCAATCTGAAAATAATGTGGATTGTTAGATATTTTGGCTGAACTTACAATAACAGAAAAGCCTCAACAATTTCAATGGATAATAGATGTCTATTTCAATATATAATCTATAATTGTCTCTAACAAATCTGAAAATTTGCAAAAGTTAACAATTCTTACCTTCTTTGGTGCAAGATATCACCATAGACTCTCCAAACTGTGAGAGATCACGGCAGATACGCGCGAATTCACCACTTGGCAGTCTGATGGTGCAGCTGTATTCAGTCTCAGGAATTCCTACAGAAACAAACATCAATATTAAAATTAGACCATAAAATCATGATTGTATTGATCCATAAAATTATTGCTATTCACTCTCAAAATAGTTACAGAGTGTACAGAATCTGATCAGCTGTATTTATTACTAGCTACTTCCGCGCTATTTCACACGCTCTGCTCAGCTCCTATTGGTCGTAGTGTGGTGTTTTATAGCCTACAGCCATCCTCGATAAGTGTGCTATCCAGCGCAAAAAGAATTATTCAAATCAAACTTGTAGTTACGGAGATTAGCGCATTCAAACAAACAAACAAAATACCTAACTCTTCCGCTTTATATTTATTACTAGCTGTTGCCTTGAATAAGAAATATAGAACTTTCAATATTTTGAAAAAGTACATTTTATGTTGTATTGCAATAATGCAAACACTCACCCAAATGTTCAAGATCCAAGTTCATGAGCTTCATCTCATAATCAGACACTTTCTCTTGGTTGGGACTCTCAAACACAAATGTGACTGTGTCTGCATTGTCCTGTGCCTTGATTGTTACTGTGTCCTTGTCGCCAGCACACTTCAGAATCTTTGACATGCTATGGTAGACAAGAGATAAAATTTAGTCAGTATTTATGTGCATTATTTTCTTAATAATATCCATTAGGGCTGTCCAAACAAAGGCCTTTTTCACTTTTTCTTGTGGCCACGACACACATTTTTGCTCAACATCTTCATCTTATGTGCAACAACAATAATAAAATTCAGTGTATGATTTGTCTGCAAGTTTAGTCTGTGAGTAATGAATACAATGTTAAACATCATTATACAACTGAAAATATTTTTCTGGCCCTCCAGCTTTTGTAAGAAATTTTATTAGCCCATGAGAGAGTGTATAGTTTGGACAGTATTGTTTAGATCTACATTATGGTAAAGGTAGTATGCTAAGAATAGCCTATCTGATTTACTGACATTGAGTATTTTATCTACACCTTATCTAGTACACAACTTGCACTCATCTATCATGGAATCATACAATCATTTCACATTATCAATGCAGTCAATATAATGTAGTATGTTAATTAACATCATCAGAGTCAATAAATGAAAATGTTGGCAATATTATAAGCACTGTAATCAATCAAGAGTGAAAGATAAAAGCTAACATGTGTTATAAGGATGCTATAATTTTTTTGGCAAAGTTTTAATGAAATTGGTTGTACTATAATATGGAACTCATAGACTTACTGATAAAAAGTTGATGTTACTTTGTGTGTGTGCACTTTGTCTATCTGATCTGATAGCTTTGATAATTATATTGGTTTTCAGATTTAAATAATTTATCTTCTATATACAATCTTATGCTATGTTAGTGATACATACCTTCCTAGATTCATGCCCATGGAGATATTCCTATCACATCTGTATTTGTCGAAGCCATCAGCTCTGAGTGTGAGGGAAACCAGTGACACATGGGAGTTGTCCATTGCCTGTAAGAATAAGCAACTCATGTAATTGAAACTATTAAATCCAGATAAAATTTTATCTGATAAGAATTATAAATCTTGTTGCTTTCTTATTGACTATACAATCAAAAGTACCTTCTTAACATTTCAAATAAAAGAGTACCTTCACTAATGTTAGGAAGTCTACAGTTGAAATAGGCTTTGATCTGTAAAAGACATTCGTCATTCCTTACCTGCAATTGTATCCCATTGTCGTCACAATCAAATGTGGCCTGTGTGAGGAGATCCTTGATCGCTTCCAACACCTTCTTCAAAATGGAACTGCGGAGAAGACGCGCTTCGAACATTTTGGATCTGAAATAAAGTTATTAAAAGGTTATGTAGGTCAAAGAGGAATGTTCCTGGCAGTACTTCAGAATGATAGTTTTCACTAAATAGTGCAAGTTACAACATGTTAATGATATGAGACATAACAATAGATCATAGCTGATTTGCCATGAAAAATTAACGGATTTCTGGTATCAGCGTTTCGGCAACATTGAATCGAAAAACAGTAATTTGTAACCCACGATGGGTAGTACGTTAACGACACTTTTAAAACTTACATATTGATTAATTCCCACTACAGTAAATTATAAACTTATTGAAATAAGGCACGCTGCGTCCCAAGTCGCTGACCTCACCAAATTGACAAGACAACTTAATTTGACAGCCGACCGCGGGAAAAAATGGCGCGAAAAAGTGAAACGTCAAACAATATTGAAAACATCTACACAATACATTTCGTAATCTGTAGCATTAGAAAAAGAAATAATATATTTATGATAGTGTACAAGAAAAAGACAACAAAACAATGTATGCTACACTACTAAACGAAAGAAATGTTTGTGTTTTTAATCATAAAGATATAGCACAAAATTTTTAAATGGCGGTGAAGCGTTTAGAAATGCTGTTACTAATGCAAGACGTTTTAATATAAGACGAATATCGAAATTTTGAAGAGATTACTATCTATTTTATAAACATTACTTCGAAGACTAAAACTCAAACCCAAAAATTTTGGGTGCTTCCACAAAAGGATTCCCCTGTACTCATTGCAGTTTTATTTCTCCCTAATTCGCCTATGCTTAGGTATTATACTCTTTGCTTTGCTTTAGACGTTAGATTATTTTTATCCGTGACGGAAAAGAGTAGGCATTCGCTACAGGATGTCAGTCATATCATATGCTACCTCCCCGTTTTTGAGTAAAGAAGACACTATGCTACATAGAATTTTGGAATAGGAAGTCCCATTCTGGCACTCGAAATCAGGGGTTGAGATTCGACCATTTCTAGCGTAATTAGTATACACTTCGCCGCCTAGGAGTACCTGGCACCAGCTATCTGGCAACCGGAAAATGTGGAAAGATACCTAGGGTCACTTAGGTACTTCATACTAGTCGTAAAGCTAATAACAAATAGACAATAAGCAGGTTAAAATTTAATTAAACTCATTATTGAATGATGAATATAGTGTAAATACTTACGAAAGAAAACAATTTGTAAAAAAAATATTTTTTATAACCATTGTTAAAACAAACCATACTATGTATAGTTGGTTTTGCATTTACACAGTCAGTATACCACAATATTGCCCCAAATATTTTATTAATTACAAAAAAAAAACAATTTATGAATTTAAACCATTTTTAACTTTTAACAAGATAGCAGCACAACTTGATCTTCACAGGGGTAGGGTGGCAGTCTCAAGAAATATTTGTGTAAAATACCAGGTGGCAAGAATCTTCCTCCTAGGTAATGTTTGGCATCCAAAATGAATTCACTTTGTGCACACATTTTTGGTGCTGAGAGGGATATCAAAAGGGCAGGTCTTAGTGCTTTAGCAATACCTGGACCCTTTTCTACATGCCATCCACTAGGAATATCCACACTGGAACATAAAACAGATAACAAATTAGATAAAACAGATAATAGAAAGAAAAAAAAATTATCACTAAATAGTAAACAAAAATATGTATTATATCAAGTGAATAACTTTTTACTGCAGTGATTAACTCGTCGAGTACCGGTTTTATAGACACAATTAAAGAACAATAGGTCGCGGTCACCGGTGACCGCTTGGTGTTTGACAGTTTAATGCACCAACTGAACATTATGTTCGCGTTGACGTTTACCTGCAGACTGGTATAGTAGCCTCAATCATAGCAGTCATGGCTGGTTTCAATTCTTCCCTCACAGGGGGTTTGAAGCTGAATCCAAAGAGTGCATCAACTAGTACTTGGTAGTGGTCACACAGCTGGTTTGGTGGTGGAAGATTTTCCACTATATCTACCCCAAATGCTACACATTGTGCCAAGAGGTTTTCATACAAGGGCTTTGGGGTGCGCTTGGGATAGTGAATTGAAACATTGTAACCAAACAGAGACATGTGGCGGGCAGCCACTAGTCCATCACCTCCATTGTTACCAGGTCCACAAATTATTAGAGCTGATGGGTGCCTGAAAATGAAGGATTATTATAGATATCCATTTTAAAGAGAATGCTATCGAACTTTCTTGGGTAATTAAATGTTTTGGTTTATATGAAGTTTAATATTAAACATACATAGATAATGGTTTGCTCGAACTGTTTGATAAGTTTAAGTTACATCAGTTACTTTAATAAAATGACTCACGTAGACACTGGAAAAGTACGTGATACAGCCGTAGCAACACTGAGCCCAGCCAGTTCCATCAGCTGATCAACACTGAACTTGTATTCATTGAATAACTCCTCATCTAGAGCAATAGCTTCCTTCTGCGTTAAGTATCGCAGCCGCGTTGTGCTACACTTTCTCGATCCTGCTGCCATATTGGTACTCCCAACGTTCGATACTCGCAACTAAAAATAAAATATTATAAATCAATCAAACATTGAAAAGTTGGTGTAACGATGAGCCGGCGAAAAGTAGACCATACCAACAACCCACTACTAATAAGCCGAAAAAACATTTAGATACCTAAAAGTTCAACTGGGAAGTTATAACAGTGTTATGCTCAGTAACCGAACTACCGATAACTATATAGTTGCAGCTTTGATAGATTTTAAAAACCTAAATAAAATCGCACTCAGTGGTACTGGTGTTTGCGACTTTGTGACATTGAAAATGACAATTTGTATTTGACATTTCATAAATTACCATTTCTGCATTTTGCAGGAGTTGATTTATATTTTTTTTTTGCTATTCAAAAAAGAAACTAATAAATTTGTAATCAAATAAATAATTAGTATGTTTTAGTTTATGACATTTCAGACCTTTTTAATAATAATAATATACCACTTTGATAAACAACGCAGACGCACATGGATAATGTCAAGTCGATTAATATTTCTGCGTGAAACAAAATGTGGAGAAGAAAGAAAACCTCTGTCGTGTTGACAATGTTGACATTCGAGTTTGTTTGACAACTTGACAGATTCTTCATTTTTGGTTTTTCGCTCATCCGTCACAAAAATGGCTGCGCTTAGAGTATTCAGTCGTAATTTACCGTATTTACGACAGCAATTTTCCGCTTTACTAGGAAACACGTCGCCATCGGTGAAATTTATTTGTGTAGTAGTTATTATAGGGTACATTCTATCGTTTTCCGACGATGTTGTGGACGTTCTCAGTGTCACTCCAGGGTATTTGTTGCCTCCTTCTTTCCAACTGTGGTCTACTTTCACGTTTTGGTTTCTTGAAATACATTTGTGGGAGGTGATCATTGATATTGTGACAGTGGGACTATGTGGGAAACTAATTGAACCGTTATGGGGTCAGGTGGAAATGATGAAGTTTTTCTTTCTGACCAATGTTGGTGTTGCATTTCTAACAACGTTCTACTATCTAGTGATATTTGCGTGTACAGGACAAACGTCCTACTTGTTTGATATTCATGTCCATGGGCTAGCGGGTTACCTGGCTGCGGTGAGTGTTGCCGTGAAGCAGATAATGCCAGATCATCTGCTGATAAAAACACCATTAGGTATGAATTGTTTGATAAGTATTAACATTTATTTTCTAATAAATTTACAGAGGATAAAGTGTAATAATCCTTTATTAAACTATTTCCTGCTTCTAAATATCTGATCAATTAGTTACTATGGTCTGAAGTCTTTCAATATTTATATCTATAATTTCATGTTGTGACATCATTATTCAGGGTGCATTTATTTGATGTTTCAGGGAAATTAACAAACAGATCATTGCCCCTCCTGATTTTAATAGCAGCTATAATTCTCTGGGCTATTGGAGCTTTGGAGGGCACATACCCTTGTATGTGGGGCAGTGGCACTATACTGTCCTGGATTTACCTGAGGTTCTGGCAGAGGCATAGCAGTGGCACAAGAGGAGACATGGCTGATAATTTCAGTTTTGATAAGTAAGTTGTTCATTTTAATCTGCTACAAACACTAACATAGCTATCTAATTGTGTCAAACTGGTGCTCAAAAGCATAAGTGAACAGAACCACACTTTAATTGTCCTGTTACTATTTATTTAGTCATTGGAATTATAAATACTCATGTAAAAATACTTTGAAGAATTTATGGACAAATGATTTGTTTTGGCTGTAGATCTTCTCAAGTGTTGCAAAGAACAATGGGATGTTATTCATCCAGTACATTGTTGTCTGTAATGCTTTGAATTAAAGTGAATATTTTTCTGCAACCAATAAACCACAAATCAGAACAAAACCTAAGTAACATTTCCAAACCTATACACAATAATCTAATCAGTTACAAAAGGAAATGTTCTACCTAATGGTAAATACAAGTCAATTATAGATAAGACTTTTTTATTAATTGTTATGAGATGGTTAATATAATAGAAATTGGACTTTGAGAAAAAATAAAGATACTTCAGAAATGTGGTGCTGGAGAGAATTGGCTTGGTATAACCTGAATACATTTTAGATTAAACATCATTTTCAAAAATAATTTCCATTGTTTGGTTTGTAGTTTCTTCCCCACGGTCCTGCAGCCAGTGGTGCGAGGAATCTTAGGGCCACCACATCGTTGCCTGGTGCGACTTGGAATTTGTTCGCCTAGCCCTCGTCGCGTGCATCTTGCACTCAGTCCTAGAGGTGTCACCATTTCGATGCCAGGCGTTGAGCCACAAGATATGGAGAGACGAAGGTAAGATATTGAATTTATATTCTTCAATATATATCAGGTTTTTCTTAGCATTATAATTACTAGAATGATGGTAAGTTGATTTGACCAACTGGTAGAAACTGACACATTTGTTATATCTATGAATATTGACATTGTTCTAATTTTTTCTAGACAAATCGCGCTCAAAGCATTGAGCGAGAGATTATCGAAGACTTCCGAGCAGACGCGACAAAAGAACCTTTCGACCAAAGTGAATATGGATGCTGTGAGGAAAGTACAGTCACAGGTGATACCGCAGTTCCCGGCTGACACTGCCACGTCAAGCCAGGCGGCCGCAGCCCCGCCCGAAGCCACGCTCGTTGACCTTACTGACCCCGTCCCGCCCACCACAAAACAATCATGATCCTCAAAGATTTAAACTAAAACAAAAGGCTGTTCACAGAACCAATGTAGAAATAGGTATGGTTGATTTTATGAGTGCTTGATCTCGATCTCAGACACAGATATTCCATATTAAAATGTGAATTTAAATTATATTTATGAAGTTTGTCAATTGGTAATTAACTAATAGATAGTTATGAGCATTTCATGTACATCACAATCATGGTAAATGTGCATTTTAATTTGATAGTTTGTAAGAAACAGCATTTCTGCAATGGCACTGTGAATTTATACGAAATAGTATTCATTATATTTTTCTTTATAAAATCCAATAGTTATGGTTACAGTTGAATGTATGGGGTATAAAAAGTAAATATTTTTTGCAGATTTTATTGCATTTGTTGATTGTGTCTAGCTGAGGAGTGTGAAAGTTGTGACATATTGTAAATATAATTGATATTGATTAGTGTTAATTAATTAAATAAATATCTAATCACTTAGTTAAGATTTTTATTGTATTTTTTCCGAATTTCTTACAAAATTTTGAAGTCCTTTAAGTCAGATCATGAACAGAACAAGAAATTATAGGTCTTATTGTTGTATAAGGAGTAAATATATACAGACTTCATAAAATTCTGGCAATACATACCAGATTATGCAGATTTACATAAAGGCACTGCTTATAACAATATCTGACATACATATAGCGAGTTAAAGTTGTAACATTGCACTTTACAATAAAATTAGCCAGTAAGTGGCAATCTACTAAATAAAGAGTACAAGAATATCCTAAATAAAGAGTAAATATAATTAACGTTACATATATTTTATCTAATATACAGAATCTTGAGTAAATCTAACTATGTGAAGTAAAAAAAAGAAAATAAAAATATACTACTCCATTGAAAAAAAAAAACATGAATACAATATAGGAATTCTTGTGACCTGTACATTAGGGGAGTGTACTATCACTTAAGGCTTGTTTCACAATGATTAAGTTGCTGTTTGTCTAACACATTTTGGCACTTAATTGTGAAACAGGCCCGAAATGTGATAAAACACCTTAATACTATAAAATAAATAAGGTGAATAAAAACTTAAGAACAAACAAGGGTCTATGTTAAACAAGCAGTCCGCTGCTCCTGCATGCACTATAGCATGGATAGCATTCCCGCTTTTTATTCTGGGATTCAGTTTCTGGACTTAAGAATCAGTCTAGCTGTTAATATGTGATTCTGCATCACACTAAGGGAAATTGAGATAAGATTCACTACATATTTTAAACTTATTCCTTAAGTTTTTGTACACCTCATTTTACTTGCCTAGTTTTGTATTTTATAATCACACATGTGGTTTTAAAATTGTAATGATACAAGAATTTTTGCTACTGTAGGCGTTGACACTATCGGGGCGTAATGCAGGGTATCCGATGAACATAATCTCTACAACACTTCTTATCACACATGATAACTGCAAAATGCAGCATTTATTTGTTATTTGATCATACAATTGTTTGTATGTTTTTGCACATATTATTCACCAAATACGTTGTTTAGGCCCCAGCAGTGTTTCTAGCACTACATTGAAGTCCAATAGTGTCTTGTTTGCTTCCACGAGTTTTTAGAGCGCACTGTAGTCTAATAAGCACGTCACTCGCGATCACGCCACGAATAGCGGCGTTTATACAGGGGCTACCTATAGTAATGGTGTGGGTTCTGCGGAGGCCACTGCTGTACCGGCACCGAGGGTTGCTGGTAACTCTCTCCCCAGCGAGCTCCCTCGCCGATGGTGTTCACTGATCCCATAGGAACCGTTGACGACATCGGTGATACTGCTACGTTTGTCGCCATGTTGCCTGCTGGGGGAATAAGGGTTAGATAAGATTTCTTTTGGAAAGTGATATTGTATATGTTTAGGATATGAAATAATATCATGCTATTTAAAGTTTCATTCTGTAAGCTATATTCCATGGATATAAACATGTAATACTCACCAGGAGGCACATAAGTCGGCGGTGCAGAGTATGGTGGCGCGGTGGCGTAGTAAGTGGGCGGCGGCACGCTCATGGTGTGCGCTAGGACGGGCACCGACGACACCGGCGGCAGCGACGGCGGCGGCACGGGCTGCGGAGGCTAACAGATATCACAACAACTGTCTTAACCGTCATATTCATAGAACAGTATGTAAATGTTTAATGGTATATACTGTTTGGAAAGGAGCGTTGAACTCTAGCAGCGATTAAACGTGATTACTAATAATGCTTGCAAGATAAGGTGTCCTCAGCACATTTGCGTGACTTTAATACCTATGAGAGCAGTTTCCAAATTAATCATAATTCTTTATGGGACAGAAGAAACAAGCACTTGGATTACTTGACAACTAATTGGTGTGCTCGCTTAGATGTCTTTGCTGTCAATGATATATTGAAAGGATTACATTAGAACAAACACCCAACAGTAAAGAAGTTGTGGACAAATTGCCACAACTTTTTGACAATAGTCTTTTAACAAGTAAATAGGAATAACTTACAGGATAATAATTATAATAGGCGTGTGACTCGGTCTGGTCTTGTATGGGCACGGTGATGAGATTGGTTCTGGCACGGGGTCGTTCGCCAGAAGGTGCGTGGCCATGCCCGCCGTGACCGCGAGGATCTCCGGCAGTCGGTGGAAGTTGCTGAAAGATAAATTTCTATTTGAATAACTTGTTTTGTGAGATTTTTGTTTAAAATAATTATTGTGAAGACTGTCTTGTCTTGTAGAAGAAATATTGCGTTGATGTTAGTGACTAGGGACAAAGGCAGGAAGTTTGTTGGTTGTGTATAACAACATTTAGCTACCTACTGTAATTTTGGGCCTACTCTACTATACTAAGTATGATGTATCTCTTAACACATGGGTTGGTGATCACATTCTTGAATGCACAACTATGTAGTCTCTGTCCTATGTCTAGTTATTAAACAGGCTCGTACAACACCTGTAGGACTTCCGTGAATCATTGTCCCCACTGTATAGTTATTTCAAAAAAATGTATAAAACTTACAGTCAAAGGTTTCACAATAGCAACAGTGTTTGTTGGTGGTTCAGGCTCTGGTTTACTCTCCACTGCCCCTGAAGACACATGCCTATGGTTGATATGTGCTTGTAGATCTCTCTGAAATAATATCATAATGTTTTTATGTTAACACGATAGTAGTTAATGAGATTTGCGGTAAAAACATTTTATTTTTTAATACTTGATTATCAGTCACTCTTAAGTACATATTTGTGTAGAAAAATAAATGAAAATGGCAGATAACTACTGGTCCAATCATTGATTATATTGCTTTCTTGTAGGATAGAAGTGGCATATACAGCAAAGAATTTCTGATGACTGAAAACTGACAAATGAAATGTGATATTTATTACCTGTGATAAATATGTTCTCCTGCAACCTGTATTGCCATATCTTGTACCAGAATGTGTACACATGAATACTGTTCCTAATCCTGTTTGTTCTACTCGTAAGACCTGTAAGCAATAAAAATTCAGATTAAAGATCACACAATACAATAAACTAAAGAACAATAAACATTTTGCTTTGCATAAGTTTAAATAATACTCAAAGTCTTATTTCAATTAAACCATAGTTTGGTACTTTTGAAACATCAACAAATACATAATAAATAAGTCTGTCAGTCAGTCCGTCAGTGAAGCTAGATGAAGCTAGGTGCTCATTCCAAAATGTAGATTCGAATGGAGAAGAACGAGCAAGAAACTCCATTCGCTACTATTGATAGAAGTATTAAAAATACTTTACCTTTTCTCTACATCTAGGGCAGTGTGTATGTTCTGCTCTGGCACATGATAAACAAAACACATGCTTGCATGGAATCTGAAACAGGAGAAGAAATGTTGAATGACACAATCTAGCTAGACTGTTTTGTATTGTGTTTAAGGACATTATTAGCAGAATAAACAAAAATTTTAAAATATTTTCATAGTTTCACCCCACAACATCACAATACAAATGAAAATCACTCTATAAAATGTTTATATTATAAAACTTTAAATTAAATATTTAAGTAGCATTTATTATTTCCCATTTAAATAAAAAAAAATGTTTCTTTAGCAATTCGTAAGTAAATACACACTATGCAGTATGGTCTGTCTTACCATTCGTCCATAAATGAGTATAGGTTTAGAGCATATATCACAGCAGTAGATCATGGGGTTGAGGACTTTCTCCCCAATGAGTGTGGCTCGGTGACTCCAGTCCAACCTGAGCATGGGCTCCGGAGGCCCTCGCTGTAGAGTTGTAAACACTGGAGCTTCCAGCTGAGATATGTCTGATGGAACTTCCACTGGAAAGTTAAAAGGAAATGTTTAATTACTTATACATATTTATAACATGGATGAATTCCCAATAGATGATAAGCTATCAAAATGGATTAGTGTTTCAAAGATCTGACTAAAATACTAGAATTTTGAACAATACATATACATGTTTTTATAATATAAATAGTATAATAAATAAAAACACAATATAAAATAGAAGCACACTGCATTTAAAACAGAAATATAGCTTTCTAAGATTAAATACCACATGTCATTAAAAAAAATTGATAAGGACTTGATTACTAAGTTTTATCACTAGAATCTACTGATTTACTGATCAATAGATAGCACTATACCATTTATTAGGGTCTATAATAACATATCAATACATAGACCCTGCAGAGGTACTTGAATTAAAAGTATAGCCTTATCTAAGAGGTATTAACTCGTCGAGTACCGGTTTTATAGACACAATTAAAGAACAATAGGTCGCGGTCACCGGTGACCGCTCGGTGTTTGACAGATTAATACTCTCAACCCTAACATAGTTAAAATGATGCACTTACTAATCATCTTTGATTAATCACTAATCACTTTAATATTAGTTACAAACTGACATACTTATTCCTAATAGTTGTAAGTATAACACATAGATTTGGACCTCTTCACTATGGTTTAAAGAGAGCCAGACACTATCTTGGTGATAACAGATAATACACAATCATAGCATTGATAAACACTTCATAGATAACTCAAAACAAGTGTGTTTTTGTTGGTTGAATTTGTTTGTATTTATTTATTGCTTAAAGGAAGTTAATTTGGTACTAACAATGATTTTCAAGTAATATTAATTCTATTATGATGTACATAGATATTATGGTAACCTTCTATGTACCTTCTATATTAATCTTCTATGTATAGATTTATGTTTATTTTTTGATAGTGTGAAAGTGAGGTTATCTGTCAAGCATCCCCAGTTATGGAATGCAGTTGCTTGTATTCTAATTGGCACCATATAATTGAAATTAAATTGTAAATTTTGGTGTTTAGAATGTTAGATGTACTAATTGTACATATTATTATAGTTTTGGTGGTGGTTTTTGAATAGAAACGCCTTTATTAGTTAGTTCTAACTTACATTTAGCTGGTTCAGTAGGTTCAGGCTCCTCTTTAGGCTCCTCAACGACGGTTTCTTCTTGTTCTTGAGTGGTTTCTTCCACGGAGCATTCCTCTTCATCACTTGACATTACTTTAGCAACTTTCTTGCCTCTACCCCTACCCCTGCCTCGACCACGGCCTCGGCCGCGGCCACGGCCCCTTCCGCGTGTATTTCTCTTCTCACTGTTCATGTTTATTAAGTAAAAAACTTTTACAATGACCGAATTTCTTCAAGGCACACTTAACCTCTATAACTTAAGCAACGAGTTTTAAATTAGCTGTCCGTGTTACAAAATAACCATGTTGTACCAATACACGAAAGTTTAGTCAACACAATTCATTTTGGAGGGATTTTTATTAGATAAAACAAAATTCCATCAAAATCACAGTCGTCACGAACAGCGGTTCATTGATTAGTAAGTAGTGATGTCAACTAAATGAATCGAGTAAAATTGATAATCGACTAAAGTTGTATAAATGTATACATTTTTACAATAATTTTAGACATATAAATCGAAAAACAATAGTGGTCTTTTAACATGAAATATATAATATCAATTTAACTTCAATATAATGAGAAATAAAGTATTCATTGCCTAATTTAAGTTTTTTTTAATCTTAGTTCCTGTGATGTCAAATTGATATTTGAGTGATCACATCCCTATAAAATGACGCGCTCCGTAATACGCCAGTTTTTTATATAAAAAATAAAGCTTTCCTTCTATCATGTCTATATTATTTTTGTCTGTTTTATCATAAAACGATTGTGATTTATTACTTTTCAATAAGCGGTTTTATTTTCCTTCAAAACTTACTGAAAATGTTAAAATGCACTGCGATTCACAATAGTCACATTTTCTTCTCAGTGCGTGAAATGGAGTGTACAGAAAAAGTAAAAATAAAATATGTCAACAAATAAAAACCGAATTTGCCGGGATTGTCCTCATGTTAAATAATCAAACATCTTCTTATTTCATGAAAATGATTGATGATGGCTGAAAGAAAATCACAACTCTTTTTTGTGAGTATCGTTGTTATATTTTTTCATTAACTTCTGATGTTTCCCATAGGAATTATACTGAATGGCTGTTGTGTGACGTCGTTCTTTTTAGCGGTAATTTCAATTTATCCTGTTTATGTTTACACGATGCCGTATTTGTTGCGCTTATATTGTTTCAATATCATAACTATTAATTTTATTATAAATCGATATTAGGTATATATAGAAAACGGAAGTTAAATTCGAGCTGGCGGCTACACAAAGATCGACTGTCATGAAATACTATTTATACATAGGTAGGGAAAGATACAAATGAAGGAATACAGACAAATAAGCGGGAAACGTAATGATCTGCAGCTATTGCCCGAAAATTATGTAGATAATTACCTACATGCTCTATCAATATTTGGTCAATCAATGTAAGGTGGTAACCTTCAAGCAAGACAACTTCGTTTTTTAATAAACACACCAGGTGTTGATCTATTTCCATAGAATATATGTCATTGTGCCTGCAGGAATATCAGGATATAGGTAAGTACCTACCTAATATTATAAAACCTTAGAACTTCTAAATCTCTTTCCGATTCTCTAACTTAGGTGACGATGACGCCTGTTTCACTTGGTGGGCAAACCAACAACCAACTCTAGAAACTAGTTAAGAAAAGCCAAGATTATTACACTAACTCATTACTAATAAGTAATAACATACATGTCAAGCTACACTTAATATGTATGAACGAGAAACTTATTGAGTCAACGGAAAATTGGCAGGCGGGAATTTTTTAACCCACACATCGGCTTCCTGCAGTTACTTCCAATTTTAGTCAACGCCGCAGTATGAGTACTACATATTAATTGTTTGATTAGCACCTGTAATTACGTAATTAGTTTATTTACCCCAAAGATTTCGCAAATGCGATTTTCGCAACAGTGCATCGACGCGACGTGCGTGTTTTGCGTTTGTATGAAGTGGACACGGTGTGCGGTGTCATAACTCACTGATCATATTGCAGTGTCTTTTTACATATTCCTTGCAGTATTCTTTTACGGAACGATCAATTGTAAGTGTAAGTGCTATAAATATTTAGTTTGAGGTTTTGGTAAGTAAGCACGTTCATGTAATTGCTTTGTCGATGCAATGTACGTCGATTTTGATTGGAGTGATATCCGTTAATGCTTGTCAAATGTCCCTGTAATAAAGAAATGAAAATAAATCTTTTGTGTGTTTTTGTGATATTATTTTTTATGTAGGATACAAAAACCTATGATACATCTTCCTTACCGTTACTTTTTTAAGTGATGTCCTTCTCATTCTTGACTCTTGAGACGTCTCCCAATGCCTCTGCCTACAGTCTCAGCATCTTCAAACCACAATAGAGTTGAATTATTATCTAATATTCATTTCTGCTATCCAACTACCTGCCATAAAGTCCTGGACTTACCCATTTACATATTTATAAATTGGTAATTGCATTATACATTCTTCGTCACGCTTTTTCCCTTTACTGGGTAATCAGAATTCGAGGCGTTGGGTATCGATAACGCGAGGTATGTCAGTACCGCTTCAAGCCTTATACGGGACACGGTGTTTGGTTTAAAATTCGCAACAGTTTGATGCATAATTACAAACTGGTTGCTTGTTTCTTGCTTACGAGTGCCATCGCAACCAGTTTTGGTGATTGTTGTTTAAATATATATTTCAACTATATATTCGGTTCTTGGGAACTTTATGGTTATTTTGCAAAGAAAACGCCTTTTATTTTGCTTCTTTCCGATTCGTTATCTACTGTTGAGTGGTTCTGTTTCATATAAAGTGAACCGAATTAATACATATGTTTGGTATGCTTTGGAAATTATTCATCTATTAGTAACTTTTGATTTATCATCAAGATAGCGATTGATTACGAAATAGCTCATAACATGGTGCCTATTTCGTTTCCACCGCAGACGGCATGGCTTCAGATTTCCTAATCTAAAAAAAATCATTGATAAAGGTGTATAAAATGAGTCACTGGTGTGAGCAATGCAATTTGTTAAGCTTCAAAAGTAGGGCAATAAAAAGTTTTCGTGATTTTAAATTTTGAGTCTATGAGTAATGTGGGTGCACTAGTAGCTTGGTAATTCAACTCTACTGCATACTTGCTTGACTTATAGAGTTAGTGTGTTCATTTGGCCACGTATTTCTATTGGGTTTTTTATGCAGTAAAAGACTGTTAGTTACTGATAATAGTTTTGTGATAATATCGTAACCTTTATTACAGGATTTTTATTAGATACCAAATAGCCTTCCGATTAACATGGCTTAAATGAACGCGGACTAGAATAAGTACCTACCTACCTAAACCTAGTCAGGCATTGTGTTGCTGATGCAATATTTCAAGAAATGTTTAAACATTATTTTTTTTCTAGTAGGTAGCTGCCATCGGCTCAAATACTCATATTATTATTCTGTATTTCGTTTTTTTACTATACATTGAGTAGTTAACACATTAATGTTTATAAATAGTCTTCTTTTTCCATTCCACTTTTGGAAGATTTTTTTAGCATCAAGTCAATACACAATAATAACTTTAGCACTTTAAAATGGTGAGACATTGGAAGTATTTCAAAGTATGTCACTCTTTCTACGATTTTTTAACTAATGACTCCAGACACTCAAGTGCAATGACTTGAGTGTTTTGAGTGCCAATGCACTATAACTTTACCTAGGTATTCAGCGTGTTTGTTGTAAAGTATTTCCTAAAGTAACTTTAATTTGCATAAATAGTAGTTAAATCAATTTGATCGAATATTGTTGACTTCTCGTGATATTTAGTTCCGATTTTTTATAGCAACTTCACCGATTTCTCACTATGATGTTCGAGACATAATATAATAAACATAATTCTTCAATCCTACATCTTGGTAAACATTAATGCTACATTCGGCCCTCTTGTTGTATTGTGATTAGGTGTTTATCCAGTGAGGGTACTTCGAAATTCATGAGTTCATTGTCGTTGCTCCTTACATCTTGAGACCCATGAATATGATGTTTTGCGTTCTATTTCAATTTTATTTGCTTTCTTCTTTATTTTAAATAACTTTGTGCCGAAATATTCACTTCTGTGACAGCTGTTTTTTGAGTTGTAGTTATTTTTTCGGCGGTTCCGTTCATATTTGTATGCTTTGTAGTCATTTAATCAACCTTAGTATTATCAGTCACTGGCCGCATTTCTTTCCTTTAGGGAGTCTAACTTGATATACTTATCCTGTAATCATTATATCAAAGCGATATAATCATCCGTTTGATGTTTTTTTTAAAGTGTAATCATTACACTTAATAGATTATTATCTTATTATGGTTCTGGGGAGTATACCTACTTGAAAATAATGATTACAATGATATCGAGGTTTAGCAAGTACCTAGTACCTGCCGCCAACATTACTTTTTATGTCGAAGTACCTACATTGGTTTATTCGCCGGAAATGGTGTATGTACGTATGTATTCAAACAAGTCTTTTGTTATTAGTGTTTGTGTATTCAATACACGATGTATTAAAAGCTCTAACCTTGAATCTTACTTCTATATTCGTCAGCGCGTGAGCTTTGCTTGTTGTGGAAGGGGCCCATTACGTATAGCCTATCGGTGTTTTCTGTCTGTGTGTGTCAGTTTATCATTGTGTGCTACGCAGACATTTTAATAGCGAATGTAAAAACACCAAACGCGACAACTAGGCATGTTTATCGTTTGCAAGAAATAACAATAAAGAAAAGTAAATCTATGTCCACAATTTCTACCTATATCACGACCCCTCAACAGATTCATAGTTCCCGATAGCACTTATGACAATTTTATTAATAAAAAAAATAAAAATCTTTTATTATCAGGCGTCGACGGCCCATAGAGTGTTAGTAAACAGTACAAACTTAAAAACTATGTTAGTAGTAACACACGAGTACAAAAATACAATAACAAAATAATACAATCATACACAAATACAAATACAGAACAGATTATTATTAGAAGCATTATCAAGCCCCACGTCTGACATGCAGCTTGATAAATCTATCTATTGTAGGCCCTTCTAGCCTTTCTGCAAACACCCTCAGAACGCCGTTGCTGCTCTCCCTCAGTCTGCGCAACACTGATGCCACTTTTTTGCGCATGATCGCGAAATAATCATCAGTGTGCGCATCCGCGAACATACCTGACGCACTACAGTAAGGTGGAAGCCTCAACAGCGTCCTGAAGGCGTTATTATATTGAATGCGCAGTGCGCTGTCCGCCTTTTGAGTATGATTAGCCCACAGACTGCTGGTGTAAAATATTTGACAAAACGCCTTAAAAAGTGTTATTTTAACTGGTGCTGAACAACCAGCAAACCTGCGCGCCAACATGTTTCCCCTAACAGCCAGCGCCCTGCGCTCCCTTTCCATATCTAGATCATCTTTTAAATCCTCTGTCACAATATGGCCCAGATATTTGAATTGTGATACCCTATTCAGAAGTAATCCGTTCAGTTTTACGTGTGGGACATATGAAGGACTTTTATTTTTTCCCTTAAATACCAATAGCTCACTTTTCGTGGGATTATACTTCAGCCCATGCTGTTTAGCATATCTTTCACATATAGTTAGTAACTTTCTTATTCCCCCGATTGTGGGGCTCAGCAGCACCATATCGTCTGCGTAACTTAAATTATTTAAATTTACTCCGTCTAAATGACAACCGACATGCGTGCTGCTGAGCTCAACAAGCAAGCTGTTCATATAGATATTAAATATTCTCGGGGAAGTCAGACCCCCCTGCCTTACACCACATTTCAGTTTATATGGCTCAGATAATGCATTGGACCATTTCACAAAGTTCTTTTGCTTTTCATACCAGACAGATAATATTGACACCAATGCAGCCGGAACTCCCGCCCCCCGAAGCTTCTCCCATAACACGTTATATGCTATAGTCTCGCAATAAAGGTATGATATACGACACGATAATATTGCCAATCCTATTACTTAGGCATCATTTAACTAGTAACAAAGAAAGCTCTTTCGGCCTTTAACAATACATTTTAATGAGTCTGTAGGCGGCTGAAACGTGAGGAAAATTGTAAGGAGGTCTGGTATTTGACTAAAGATAAACTCTATTTTCTTTCAGTTAAGATTTAGTGTCCCTCTTTTATGGAGACACAGTTTATTCAAATGAAGTCAAATCATTTGTGATATGTTCACAAATATAGCTATCGTCGTACAATGCCGGATTCCATTCGTCCAATCTGTGTACAATAGTTTCGTTGAAGCAAACATGGGCGGATTTCCATTATGCAAGTTTACTTTGCGATTTCAAAGTGTTGGGCGTAAACGTTTTAAATTCGCTGTTTTATTTTGCTTTCCTTATTTTATGTTTACTTACCTATGTAATAAGTATGTGTTTGGTTACATTGTCGTTTTGCAAAGTTCTTGTATACGCAATTTACTTTTGTACGAAATTAAGTTTGAATGCATATTCTACGATCGGGCAAGGTAAATACTTAGTAAGATGGTAATTGAAGTGGTTTTTGTGTCGATATGAAGGTGTAAAAAAGTCATTATTTTCTTTTACTGTGACGTTGAAACGGAATTTTTTAAGTCTTTTGATACGTCACCGTGTTTGACGAACTCGCTCTGTGTGGTTGTAGGTCAAGATTTAGGGCGTGTTGCGTCACCCTTACATACGTGCACTCGTGGGCGTATCACAACGTTTCAATAATATAATAGTCATCCCCTGATAATAATACGCTTTAATTGCATCATTTTTATCATTTTTCCGGTTATTGATCTCGATCATTCTAGACGCAATATTTGAAGGTCAAATTTTAATTGATATGATTACTCACTTACCTAATTTTTAGTAGTATTACATGGTACATTATATCACTACTTCATCCAAGCATGCCTTTTACATTAGTACGTAGGTACACAAAGCACCGTTAATTAGTTAGCGGCGCTACACATCGACACAACTATCATTTACACAATATACATGTGTGGGTAATTTCATATCAATAGATATGTATAGAAACAATCGTCTATCACACACATCTTGGTATTTAAAAATCATTTTTGTGTCGGTATACGCAATAATTTAGTAAATAAGTTTAAATAAAAACGAGGGTAAAGATAAAATTACTCATAACAAACTTTGAATAAATCGAAATCAAAAATAATGAACGATCGAGCTATACAATACCCATATAAATATAGTGCTTTCTCATTGTAATTTTATGTTACTGAATGATATAAAATATTTCGATGATCTCATCTACAGCGCGCTTGGCGCAATGGTTATCGCCTCCAATTGTCAAGTAAAGTGCCGCCGGATCGATTCCAACATTCACATGTTGTTTTAGAATTAATTTATCAAATATTTGAAATTTGAAATTAGAAACAATTAAATCTTTTCTTTTTTTTCCTTTCCTATTGTTCTAAATCTTATGTTAATTTTAATAGTAAATACTTTAGATTTATTTATACCTATAATATCTTTTATTTATATTTTAGTTCTAGTTATTTATTATTTAGAATAATCTCATTTGCTTCATGCATTTCAACCAACTTAAATAAGATAAAAACAGTAAAAAAGTAATTAACTGTGATTTCTTAATGGTTCGATACCTGAGTATATTTGCAATGTTTGTGGCGACCATAGAAATCTCGAGTCATTTTATTTTACACGCTTATGAAGTAACTACCGACTATTTAAAACATGTTTTTCAAATCACCCGACTTACAAAATAATTGCGTTCTTAGTTGTCAATTTATGAGGATTTCATAGTTTATTGCTACACTACTTATATTCGTGTGCAAAGTTATTTTTATTTTTACAAGATGTTCCAACACCTATCAACATTTAAAAAGGCTGAAACCATTGTTTTGCATGAGCAAAACATAACTAACAATAACTGAAATAGCAAGGCGTTTAATGATATCGGTGAGTAAATAAGATACTACGTTGTTATTCTAAATAATATTTATTTCATTTTGTAACTCGACACACCTATCAATTTTTGCACTAGAATAAAATAATTATTGCAACTTATTATGAAGTTCAATATTATAAAGATATATTAATAATTTATTATTAATTGTATTGTAACTTGACTTGTTTTTGTTAGGAGTGTTTCTTTAAAACATATCTGGTTAGGGATTTTTATTCCTTACGCCACTACTTAATTATAAATTATTATTCTAACATTGTGTTTACTTATATTTATTATTATTTTTAAGTAACTTTAATTCCTGTAAAGTATTTCCTGGTATTTTAAATACTTATTTGTTTGGTATCAACAGAGGAGATCCATGCAGTTATGGGTGCACAGATATGCGGAGACCGGTGACGTTAAACATCGTCGACGTGGGCCTAAACCAAAGGCAAATTCATCGGCTCGGCACTACGACGTCGTAGCCAGGCACATGGCTGATCCGTTCCTGCCAACCCGCACTACAGCGACAGCACTGAATGTTTTAATACAAACTGTACGGAGACACCTGCATTCTGGTTAAGGTGCAGGAAGCCAGAGAAGAAAACATTGTTATCTGTGGTTCACCAGCAAAAGCGCTAAGAATTTGCTAAGGACTTTATTAATTTTGATTGGGCGAACACCAGTGATTGTATTGATTTCGGAATCAATTATTGAGCCTGTCAAACTCTGCCTTTATTAAAATTAAAACATAAAATAATGTTTAATTTTTTTAAGAATATTAAAATGCTGTCTAGAACATACGGTGAAGTGATGTTATTGTTTGTGGTTAGAAATTGTCATAATTTCTTTCTATTCAACATGTTTATTCACTTCACTTTAATTTTTCATTAACAAATTTATTTAACTGCTTTCGAACTTGATTGACATATTATATTTACGCCCATCTTCAATTAATTTAAAGTTTCCCTGATTCTAAAGGTCATGAAAGTTAAAATCGTTCCATAGCATTCGTCACATTCTTTTTACTATCATACAGCCCACTGAATATTGAACCTTATAACAACCGTCGTAAAATAGATAATTAATGGAAGTTCAAACGACAAAAAGTCGCCCATTTCAAGAAATATTTTACATGTAATTTTTTACATGTTTTACTTGTTTATTACTGTAAAACTGTAATTTAATAATACATTATATTATTAAATTACAAAACAAGAATGTTGTATATTTGTTTATTACCTACTTAATAAAAAATGTTGCTGCCATCGTATTACCGCTGTACCGCATGATATTTCCCGATTCGACTATGAGGTTTATTGTCATATCTATTAATTATGATTTAAAGAACTTTAAACTTAACATGTGGTATATAATTAATTATTAATATAAATATTGAATATAAAACAACATATTTGTATAATAAATAAATTAATTGTAATAAAAAATATATTGTTTATTTACCAACTCATTTGCTTCTTTTATAGCCTGATATTTATATTTTATGACAAAAACACAAAAACAAAAAAAAAAAATAAGAAAAATAACAAGGTAAAATAAAATTACTTTTAGCTGGAATAGAACCCACATCAATGATCCTTGAAAGACGATATAAGCGTGCTCATTAACCAATCGACCACGAGCACTACGATAATGACAGTGAAAATGTCGGGTCATATCAATGATTGTAAATAGTTTTAACCTTACCTATGCATTAAATTATAAAAATACGTATACCGACA